GAAATTGAAGATTTAATTGAAAACCTATCAACAAAGAAAATCCCAGGCCCTGACTGATTCCCTTCTGAATTCTACAAGATATTTAGAGAAGAATGAACATTACATTTCTCAAACTTTAGTGAAACTGAAAGGGAAGCAATACTCCTTAATTCTTTCCTGGAAGCAAGAATTACCTTAATACCAAAACCAGAAAAGGACTCAACTAAGAAAGAGAATTACAGGCCAATTTCCCTAATGAATATAGATGCAAAAATCCTCAATAAGATACTGGCAAACAGAATGCAGCAAATCATCAAGAAGATTACATACTCCATGATGAAGTGGGATTCATCCCAGGTATGTAGGGATGGTTCAACATACATAAAATAAATGTAATACACCTCATCAACAGAACCAAGGTCAAAAATCATATAATCATCTCAACAGATGCAGACAAAGTTCTGACAAAGTCCAGCATCCATTCATGATAAAAATCCTACAGAAAATTAGGATAGTCTTTATCTCAATCTGATAAAAACTATGTATGACAAACCAACAGCTACCATCACACTAAACAGACAAAACCTGAAAGCTTTCACTCTAAAATCAGGAACAAGACAAGGATGTCCACTGCCTCCACTCTTATTCAACATAGTCCTGGAAATTTTAGCTGGAGCAATTAGACAAGAGAAAGAAATCAAAGGAATAAAAATAGGAAAAGAAGAAGTTAAACTATCATTATTTGCAGATGACATGATTCTCTACGTAGAAGACCCAAAAAACTCCACTAAGAAACTGGTATATTTAATAAGCAAATTCAGCAGTCAAACAAAGTCAACACTCAAAAATCAGTATTCTTCCTGTACACAAATAATAAATTCACTAAGAAAGAAATCAGGGAAACAACATCTTTCACCATAGCATCCCTAAAAATGAAACATTTAGGAATCAGTTTAACAAAGGATGTAAAAGACCTTTACACCGAAAACTATGGTAGAGTGAAAAACGAGATTGAAGAAGGTATTAGAAAATTGGGGCTGGGGATTTAGCTCAGCGGCATAAGCGCCTGCCTTGCAAGCAGGCAGTCGTGAGTTCGATCCCCGGTACCGATAAAAATGAAAAAGACAAAAAAAAAAAAAAAAAAAAAAAAGAAAATAGAGCGATATCCCATGCTCTTGAGTAGGAACAATCTATATCGTGAAAATGGCCAACTCCCAAAATTGTTAAACAGATTCAATGCAATCTCAATCAAAATGCCAATAACTCATCTCATCGACTTAGAGAAAACAATCCTAAAATTCGTCTGGAACTAAAAGAGACCTAGAATAGCAAATTCTGAGCAACATAGGCAAGAAAAGGGGTATAACAATCCCTGACCTGAAATTATACTATAAAGCTACCGTGATAAAACCAGGGTAATAATGGCAAAACAATAGACCTGAACACCAATGGAACAGAGTAGAAGATGTAGAAACAGCTCCAGACACACTAAGCCACCTTATATTTGACAAAGGTGCCAAACACATTTACTGGAAAAAAGATAGCCTCTTTAATAAATGGTTCTAGAAAACCTGGCTCTACACATGCTGAAGATTAAAGTTGGCCCCATATATTTCACCATGCACTAAACTAAATTTGGAATAGATCAAAGATCTAAATATTAAAACAAACATTAAATCTGTTGGAAGACAGAATAGGTAAAACTCTTAGAGACACTGGTGTAGGCAAAGACTTTATGAACAAAACTCCGATTGTGCAGGAAATATCACAATGAATCAATAGCTGGGATCTTACCCTACTGAAAAGCTTTTTGCACAGCAAGAGAAACCACCAACAGAGTGAGCAAACAACCCACAATGTAGGAAAAATTGTTTGCCAGCTGTTCCTCATGCAAAGGATTACTTTGAGAACATATAAAGAACTAAAAAAAAAAAAAAAAAAAATCAGTCCTCCCAAATTTAAAGACCCAATCCAAAAATGGGCATCTGAGATGAATATACACTTCTCAGATAAAGAAATATAAATAGCAAATAAATGTATGAAAAATGTTCCTCATCACTGGTCATTCAAGATATGCAAATTAAAACAACACAGAGATTCTACCTCACCTAACAGAATGGTTGTTATCAAGAAATCAACCAGTAACAAATTCAGGAGGGGCTGTGGGGAAAAAGGAACACTTTTACACTGTTGGTAAGAATGTAGACTGGTGTAACCACTTTGGAAATCAGTGTGGAGATTCTTCAAAACAGTAGGATTAGAGGTACCATTTGGCCTAGCTATTCCCCTTCTGAGTATCTTCCCAGAATTAAAAACATCGTATCACAGTGATATATGAGCATAATTTGTAATAGTTAGATCTTGGAAACAACCTAAATGCTCATCAGTTGAGGAGTAGATAAAAAAAGATGTGGTCTTTTTATATAATGGAGTACTCAGCCACAAAGAAGGATAAACTGGAGACCTTTATAGGTAAGTGGATGCAACTTGAGACCATACTCAAATTAAATAAATCAGACATGCATTTGGGGGCCAGGGGTTAGCTCAGCAGTGTAAGTGCCTGCCAGGCAAGCGCAAAGTTGTGAATTCAATTCCTGGTACAAAACAACAACAACAACAACAACAAAAAAACAAAACCCAAACAACCCCTCCCCAAAACCAGACATGCATGTGTCAACACTATATTATCTCACTAGTGTGAGAAGCTGAAAGAAACTATATAAAAAGAGTTTAGTTATATTACGATTTCTCTGATTTCTCTGAGCTCACTGAAGAGAAAGTTTTCTGCTAGTATTGTTCACAAGATTAAATGCAAAAGTCTGAGTTACTGGTTTGAAGTAACAGTACACAATGTTATCCCCTAATTATCATGTTTTGAAATTTTTTCTCTTTAAAATTAAAAAAAAAGGTTACATAGGATTCATGTAGGAATTTTAGATCAGGGTTGAAGGTAGACCAGTCAGAAGCTATTGTGGTAATAAAAAATGGTAGCTTAGAACAGGGCTATAGCTAAGACAGACACAGGCAGTTAAAATAAAGATGGGTAGATAAATCTGAAACACATTTAGATCAGCTCATTTAAGATTTGGGATGGATTATGCGAGTAAAGGAAAATAGGTTCAAAGATATTTCCATAACTGTTCAACTGATGGTGTCATTCACTTAGATAAGTGAAGTGGGAGAGGGGTAGGGGAGACAGAGGAGACAAATGAATTCCACTTTGGATACACTGAGTTGGAATATGTGAATTCCGTGAAGGGATGGAACAAGATCTCTCTTTACCTTGAAACAGTCTTAAGTTACTAAGCTGCTCAGGCGAGTTCAAACTTCTGCCTCGGCTAGGATTATAGGTATGCATAACCATGCTCAGTGTGGGCCATGTCTCTTTTGTGTGTTTGAGGTAGGGTTTTCTATGTAGTCCAGGCTGGCCTTCAGCTCTCTCTGTATAGCTATGTCTTGTTCCTTGTTGTCCCTCACTGTCATGCACAGTGTCTGATACATACTACGCACACTGTAAATCTGTGAAAATACACAAGTGCATACAACCTACACAAGAACCTTGGAACTTTTTCCATGTGGAAGGACTATGTGTCAGCTTGGGTAGGCTGTGATGCCAAACACTACTGTAGATGTTGTTGTTTATGACTGGTTGACTTTATATATATATACACACACACACACACACACACACACACACACACATATATATATACATATATTTGTATGTATATATGTACATATGTATATATATATATACATACATTTGTATACATACAACATATTTGTAGTACTGTAAAACTCAGGGCATTCTACATGTTAGTCAAGCACTTTTATTGTGTTACACCCCTAGCCCTCAGTCACTTTAAGTAAATATTAATTTTATAATCCCAGCACTCGGGAGGCTGAGGCCTCCTCCGAGGAGGATCATTGCAAGTTCGAGACCAGCCAGGGCTACAAAGTGAGTTCAAGGCCAGCCTGAACTGCATAGTGACCCTGTCTCAAAAAGACCCCCCCCAAAAAATTAATTTTAATAATGTGGGAGGACTCTCTCTCAATTATTTTTTTCTTGTTACTGGGACAAAATACCTAACATCCAAAGTTTAAGTGGGAAAGGGTTATTTAGCTCACAGTTTGTAGGAGTTTCAGTCCTTCATCGGTTGGTTCCAAGGAAAGGTGGCACATGGTAGAGGGACAATTCATTGTGATGGTATACAGCAAAACCAACAGCTGAGCTTAATAGGCTCTTTCTGCCCCTTTTATACTCTATCTAGGTTGCTGGGATGAGGGTGTACAAAACCAATCAGTAAACTGACTAAACACTGTTAATCCCAATGTCACACACTCTAAATCCAGCACTTCTGAAAATACCCTATGACTGCATGAGAGTTTAGGGAGACATCTAGACACAAATCATAATGGGCCTTATCCAATCAAGTAAAAGCAGTAAGTGTACGCACAAGTTAATTGGAGAAGGAACTCAATTTTAAGACTGTAACACAGAAATCTGACCTGAGTTTCCAGCTTACTGGCCTGCCCTATACATTTTAATGTCACAGCCCATATAATCATAGGTGTTAATTCCTTAAAAGTAAATCTCTGTATGCTATTAGTTTTCTGGAGAACTCTGATTAAAATTTTATGAAAGAAAGTAGAAAACAAATAATATGAATCAGCAGATCAAAGTTCAGTATTGGCCCTGTCGTATATCTGTTGTGTGATGTTGGACATTTCTGCCAACTTCTGAGACCCAATTTCCTTGATAGAGATAATAACAGTATTTAATGATCTCATGAGTAGAAAAGACCATTGCAATCTGCAAAACAAATTACATTGTTAGTTTAAGGCTGCCTTCCTAAGATTAGAAATGCTGTAAATTTAACTTCCAGACAAAATTGGTATTACTATGATCAAGAAAAAAAATACTTGCTGTATCAGTATATGCATAGTCTTTATGTTCATGTCTCACTTAACTTTGACTCATACTAGCAACACAATGCTTCTGGTGGTATTTTATCTTTTACCTCTGACAGTAGATTCAATCTCTTTTATGGCAGCTTCATTTTGAGCTTCTTCGAGTTTTTCATTAATTTCCATTATTCCAATGAGGAACTGGCTGTCCATTTTATAATCTGTCCCTTCAGAAATCTCTATTCCATGGAGTTTTAGCTATGAGGGCAAAGGCAGGAAAAATAAGTTTGGTTCAAGAAAGCATGGTCAATGTCAGTACATCCTGTTCTGAAAACTTGAACTGTACCAGAAATGAAAGCATGATGGTAGGCCACCAGCTTAGACTGAGATAAGAATAATAGTATAGAATCTTACTTTGTGCTGTCTGAAATTGTGTGGCCCTGGGAAAACATTCCTCTACAAAATCAAAATTGATGTTTGTAAACACCATTCAGTTCTAAAATTTTATGGACTCTTAAGATGCTTTTGAAAAAAACTATTCCACTTTAAAAACTATCATCATCAAACTCTTGAAACTGAAAACAGTGCAACTGGGACACATAAGATTTACAAAGAATAGAGAAAGCTACACTTACACAGTAATTTTTTTTTCTTTATATAGTATCTTTGAGGCTAAGTATCACTGGGACCTTGGAGTAACTCAAGTTTCAAGCACTCTTTTTTCTTTTTGTCTTTTTGAGACAGGGTCTCTCTATGCAGTTCAGGCTGGCCTTGAGCTCACTTTGTAGCCCAGGCTGGTCTCGAACTCTCAACGATCCTCCCACCTCAGCCTCCCAAATGAGCCACCACGCCCATCTCAAGTTTCAAGCACTCTTATGTGGAATATGGGGAAGCAACTGTCCTATATGACAATGAGCAAAAGGAAGTCACATGTATAAGGGTTGAGAAATCACCTTACTAGGTATAGTCCCCTGCTCAGAGGGGCCAGAAGAGTCTTATAGGCATCATTCACCAGTGTTGAATGCTTCTCTGCTAGGTCCTTTTCAGTCTGTTAGAAATGAATATAGTCTTATTACCAAGATTACAGTAATCTTAAATTCACTTTTTCCCCTTGTAATACTGGGGAATGAATCCAGGGAACACTGAACTATATCCTCAGCCCTTTTTTGGGTCAGGGTCTTGCTCTGTAGTCCAGGGTAACCTAATATTCCCTATGTAACCCAGGGTGACCTCAAATTTGAGATCCTTTTACCTCAGCCTCCTAAGTGCTGCAACTCCATGTATGTCTCAACATACACGGCCTTATTATTATTTTTTGTGGTACTAGGTATTGAGCTCAGGGAGCACTGAGCTACTTCCCAAGCTCTTTTTATTTTCAGAAAGGGTCTCATTAAATTGGCCATGCTGGCCTCTAATTTCAGATCCTCCTGCCTCAGCCCCTTGAGTAGCTATGATTACAGGTATACACCACTGTGTCCAAATTTTAATAATATGCTGATGAGCAGGTGTCCAAGGAAGTGGCCAAAGTACACAGAACTGGTGTTGGATAAGTTATCTTTATTCTTCTACGTTTTTTTGAAAGTCAGAGAAAAGCTGTAAGTGGTTGATAATGCAAGGACCTGGCTGGTTGGGGTCAGGCTGTCACTGGGTGAAGCTCATTATCCAACTTTGTCCCTAAAAATAACATAAGTACAGGGTCATTGCCACCCATCTTGTATACACACGTGTTTGGGAGAATATTGCGGTGGCCAATAAAATACCTGAGACCTCTTGCTGAAGAAATCTGGGTGGACAAGACGCTGTAGTTGCTGGTACCTATGCTGGAGCTTTGTGGTATCAATTCTGAAGGAACGGTTGCTGAAAGAAAATTGGGACATGAAATTCATGCAATAAATATTTATAAGGTTATCTACTACAGGTCTGATTCCTGAGGAAGACTTAATAAAGAAATAATCTGAAAAATGTAACTGCTATGAAGGAAAATAGAATAAGGGCAGACAAGGTAATGCAGTGGAGAAAGACCACCAGAGGAAAAGTCATCCAGACTTGAGAACTGCAAGTGCAAAGGCCATGAGGTGGAAACAAGATGGGCAGCTTACTTCAACCCAATCCCCTTCATTTTCTCCTCCCATTTCTTCACCAGTTCAGCTCTACCCACATTTCCCTTCTTCTTTCCAAACTTCTCAATCTTCAGGGTGATAAAAGGGAAAAATTATTTCTTGGACTCTACCTCTAATTCCTACTTTCTTTTATGGCCTTGCCTACAACCTTGTTTGTGCTTTTACTGTCACATGCAACATGTAATTTTTGTTTTGTTCTGTGTTGCCTCGCTGAGGACAATACCAGGGGTTCTTGCAATATAAGCAAGCGCCCTGAGCTAAAGCTCCTGAGAGTCTCATCTTGCACCATGCTTCAGTACAATACTTCTCTTCTCCCAAGTCTCAAGCCAGCATCAAGCTTTTTTGACTCCACCCCTTCCCTGCAGCTCTGTCCCTCGTTGCCTCCACCCCTTTCCTACAGGTTCCGCCCCTCCAATTCCTTCATTCCCCACCTCTCCACTCCCACCTCACCCCCTTCATGCCCTTCTCCAGTTCCCGCCCCTCTTCCCCCTCTCCATCTTGACACAGCCTCAAGCCCCGCTCCGTGGTGCTCCGCCCACCTATCTGACCAGCCCCGGCGCGTCCCAGCCTGCCACCCTCCCCTCACGCAGGACGTCGCTCCCGTCCCGACTCCTGAAGCCTCCTCGCGTACCAGTCCATGAGGCTGAAGTAATCTCGAGTGGGGTCAGGTGGTTGCAACGCACGGCACTGCGGGCAGAAGAACCCGTCCCCCCGCTCAGGGCCCCCCGGGCCGCCGCACTTCCAACAACGCGGCGCACTGATTCCTGCCTGCGCAGCAGCATTGCTGCTTAGCAGTCTCCTTCCGGGGGCCCCCGCCTGTCGCCGACCCCATCCCAGAAGCAAGGCCCCGAGTCTCCCGCCCCACATATGGGCCGCTGCGTATCTCGCCGCGGTCACCTGTTGGGGAAGTGGAGACCGCCGACCAGACTAATGCAGCTGATTGGAGAGAGAGCTAAGGGGGCGGGGTCATTTGGGGGGAAGCATAGCGGCTGAGTCCCGCTGTGCCTTCTGAACTACAACACCCAGCAAGTATCGGTGTCACGCGTGCCGGTCACTTCCGTTGCTTTTCATTGGTCCGGTAGCAGTAGAGAGTGTTTTGATTGGCTGAGGGTGGAGTTTGTATCTTCAGGTTTAGCGCCACTCTGCTACCCGCGGCTGGGGGGGAGCCTGAGCCTCCTGGTGGGCTCACGCGGTGAGTCATAGTGGGAAACTTCTCTTGCGTGCTTGGTGGTTCGAGTCCCATATTCGGGGTTTATGGAAGTGTAATCTCTTTGGCTTTCGTTTTGACTGGATTTTTGAGATGGAAGGAGAGTGCGTGGGCGACTCTTCCTTTATAGATGATCCTCGAGGTGAAATTGACTTTGTTAGTTAGAAAATAAAACAGGCCTGGAGATGTAAGATGAGAAGGAACAGAGTTGTGGTCGATAACAGAGTATCGTTACTTTGTAAAGAATTATACAGATATTAGTACTTAGGAACATTCTTTAGATTCAATCCCTGAACTGCTTCTGAGAACCCAGTTTTAACTGCTAGGTGCAATACAACTGAAAACGTGCTGACTTGTGTAAGGTGCCATGCTGGTGGCTATAAATGTGTGGAATAGGGTGGCAAGGAGCATCAATCTTCCTTGGGACTCAAGTTTCACAGGTTTTTGTTTTATTTTAGACGAGTATCACTAGAGTATCACTATGTACTTCAAGCTGGGTTTGAACTCGTTGTATAGCCCTGGATGGCTTCAAATTTGTAGCGATCCTCCTGTGTTAGTCATAACATGTATCACCAATGCCCAGCTTGAGGTTTCGCCATTTAATAGAAAGGTTGTGTGGAGCTTGTAAAGCCCCTTAGATTTTTTATAATTGGGATCCTGGAGTTTTGCTGAGTTCACTTCCTTTTTTTCCGAATATGAATAGCTCCTAAGTTGGCAAAGAGCTAGGTGGAGTTGTTTAGATGTATGTTTGTGTTCGGCTTCATTAAGTGGACTTAGGTGTCGGGATCAAAACGAACATGGTTTCTGCGTTCTTGGAGAATGCCTGGGGGTAGAAGGAGTATCAGTATTTTGTGCAAATAGTTACTCTGAAGTGGCAAGGGAGTTACTATATAGTTTCTTTTTAGTTGTCGTCTTCTATTTCAGGTGACCTGACACTTTCTTTTCCAAAATAGGAATGAAATTTACGTGTAGTGTTGATTGTAAGTCTGTTTCACTTACAATTTTTAAACAATTGTATGCATGGGATGCTGTTTTGAGTATCAGTTTCATTGCCTTTTTTTTGTTTTTTTGAGACAAGATCTCCCCTTGTAGTTCAGAGTGGCCTTGAACTCACTGTGTAGCCCAAGCTGGCCTCAAACTTGTGGTAGCCCTCCTTTGTCAGTGGAACTTGTGGAGATGTTTCTGTCTCAGCCTTTTAAATGCCGAGATTGCAGGCTTGCACTACCATGCCCTTCAGTTTCATTGCTGTTTACTTACTTTTATCCTTCAAATAACTCAAATAATTTTCTTTCTGTGTTTTATAGCTGCCAGACAAAAACCTGATCCAATGAAAGTGATCTTATGAAAAGTTCAGACCAGAAGAAACTTATAGGTGGACTGGTAGGATTTTTTGGGGGGGGGGGGAATGCTGTCCCATTGAACTAAAACCTTAGCCCTTTTAATTTCTTATTTTGAAAAAAGGTCTCCCTAAATCCCCTATGTTGGCCTTGAACTTTACATCTTCCTGGGTCAGGCTCCTGAGTAGCTGGGATTACAAGTGTGCCACGCCGTGCTTGGTTGTTAGGATTTGAAGAGCATGCTTGCCCTGAATTTTCTCTTTTTTTCTCTCTTTCTTTTTTTAAATTTTGTTTCTTTTGAGATGGTCTCATTATGTAGTGCAGGCCAGCTTTGAACTCACTACGAAGCCCAGGATGGCCTTGAACTCATGATGATCCTCCTGCCTCAGCTTCTTGAGTTTTTCGAATGCTGGGACTACAGGTGTGTGCCTCTGTCTGGCTTTTTTTAAAAATTTTTTTTGCTGTGATAATGTACCGATTCTTCACTCTTGAGATAAATCTTACTCTTTGAAACTTATGATTGGATACTTTTTGAGGTTGCGATGTCTCGAGAGCCCGATGAAGAGAGTCAGCAGTCCTATGCCAGCACCTCACAGCCCCATGGCACTGGTACCAGTTCACAGACCCAAGGTGGCTTCACCCAGTCCCAAGGCTGTTTTTCCCCATCCTCTGGGCTTGCTTCACAATCTCATGGGTCCTTGATGCGCTCCCCAAGCACATCCAGCTCTTCCACCAGCACAGTGCCTACCTCCAGCCAGTCCTCTCAATCCAGCTCCGGGACGCTGAGCTCCTTAGAGACAGTGTCGACTCAGGAACTCTGTTCTATTCCTGAGGACCAAGAACCAGAGGAACCTGTTCCTGCTCCTTGGGCTCGACTGTGGGCTCTCCAGGAAGGATTCTCCAATCTTGGTAAGTCCTTTTCTTTTACAGTATCATGAGTTGTTTAGAAAAAGATTACAGATGATTGTTGCAGCAGAAAAGCTTAGGACACTCATGGAATGATTCTGGAGTCTGAAGGTAATGAAAGATAAAAGGCAGTGGTGGGGCTGGCGTGGCTGTGCACTCCAGTAATTGCAGCACTTGGGAGGCTGAGGCAGAAGAGTCATTGTGAGTTCAGTGCCAGCCTGCACTACAAAGCAAGGTTACCTGACCCCAAAACAAAAAAACAAAATAACCACAACAAAAAAATTCTGTGAGGGCATCAGATGAGTTCAGAAGAGGGAATATTATTCTTGCTTCTGTTTACTGTTTTTGTCTCCAAATAGTCAATGATGTAATTTCAATATAGTGATCTTCTTTGACATGCTGTGGTCCCAATAGAGAATCTTTGCTATGAGTATGTTTGAAGTAGGATTTTAGTTATCTCTTACATTAAAATGACTTTGTATTTTAAAATACTTGATTTGAGTGTTGTCGCGTATGCCTATAAATTTCAGCTCTCAGGAGGCTGAGGCAGAAGGGTTGCAGGTTTAAGGCCAGCCTGGATACATAGCTGATCTAGACTACCTATGGGACCCTATTTCCAAAAAATAAAGGCAAAACAAAATTTGTACTTGATAATATTAAGAAATGAATGATTAATATACTACTTTGTACCCTCTAACTTACCATCCATCCATTTTACTTAAATATCAACTTCAATGAATTGAAAAAACAGTAAAAAAAAAAAAAAAAGTAATCCTCGCATTTAGGGGGCTGAGGCAGAAGGATCACAGTGAATTTGAGGCCAGCCTTGGCTACATAGTATGTTCAAAACCAGCCTGAACTGGGTTGGGGATTTATCTCAGCAGCATAAGTGTCTGCCTGGCAAGTGCACGGTTGTGAGTTTGATCCCTGGTATCAAAAAAACAAAACAAAACAAACAGAAAATCAACCTGAATTATATAGCCAAAATCCTATCTCAAAATAAATAAATAAATAAATAAAGTGGAAACAACATTAAATTTAGAGGTAAACATTTAAAGCCATTTTATACCTTTCTTTGTTGTTATTTGGTTGTTTGAAATAAGGTGTTATGTATAGTCTAGCTTGATTTTGAAATCACATGTAGCCTGGGCTGCCTCATTTTGTGATTTTGCTGCCTCAGCCACCCAAGTGCTGGGATTACAGGTGTGTGCCACCAGGCCTGGCTGTATTTTCTTTTTGTGGCAGTTTTAGAGCCTTAAACTGTCTCATCATTGGATCTTACCTGCTTTTCAAAGAGTTCTCCTGTGATGTATGTGTTTTTGCTCATTTTGGCTAGGGTTAGCTTGTGGCCCTAATGAATTTGTGACTGAGGCAAGTGCACAGGGCAGGAAAGAGGCATAAGTGGAAGTGGTAAATAAAATATAGGGTGGGCAAAAGTGGACTACAGTAAGTGTCACACTCTGACTTAAAGGCTACTTCCAGGTGTAGCTGTACTATTAAAGTAAATCAACTTATTAGCCACTGCAAAGCCTGCCACCAGATGCAGCTTGTCACTTGCTACTTGACAAGATTTTGGTATGAATCAACAAACAATTTGTTAGTCTCTGCAGTGCAACCTCTTGGGTAGCTGGGCATTGCAGCACATCCCCGTAATCCTACCACTTGGGAGGCTAAGGCAGGAGACTTACCACAAGTATAGTACAGTTTAAGCTACATAGTAGGTTCACAGTCAGTCTCTACTACAAAAAAACAAAAACTAGACAAACCTCTTGGCTAATGTTCATCTGTATTTGCAGCTGGTCACCATCGCTAGCATCACAGCCTCAGTTCTTCCTCAGAGTACTAGGTGTTAGAATCATAGGGAGCACACAACCTAGATCCCTCCCAGGTACAGTTTACAGTAGAGTTAAGCTTCCTAGGAGACTAAACCTGTCACTGATCTGACAGGAGGTGGAGCTCAGGTGGTAATCTGAGCCGGGGGGATTAGCTGTATGTCCTGATGAAGCTTCCCTTGCCTGCACTTCACTCCTGCAGTGTGGTTCTGGTTCTGGTTCTGGTTGGTGCCCTTGTCATAGGGCACTGGAATTACCAGGGGCACCATCACTTGGTTCTGTGTTCAACTTTGTAAGGAACTAACAGACTATTTTCTACAGTAGCTGTATCATTTTGTTGTGTTTTCTTTTGGAATTTTTTTTTTCTTTTTTGGTACCGGGGATTGAACTCAGGATCTCGAGCTTGCCAGACAGGTGCTTATGCCACTGAGCTAAATCCCCATCCCTCTTTTGTTTTATTTTGAAATACAGTGTCATGCAGCCCAGATGGTCTTGAGCTCATGGTCCTCTTGCTCCAGGCTCCTGAGGGCTAGGATTATATGCACAGTCACACTCAGCAAGAGAACTTTTGTGTGTGCTTGTTCACATGCATGTGTGGTGTGATGTGTGTGTACACGCTGTGGTGACTGAACCTAGGGCTTTGTGTATGCTAGATAAGTGCTTTACTACTGAGCTACATCTCCTTTTGTGTCATTTATTAATTAAGTAGTTTATTTTTTCATTATATATATTTTAGATATAGTTCCTTATCAGATATGTTTCTCAATACTTCTAGTCTATGGGTTGTCCTTTTCATTCTCTGATGTAATTTTTTGGTGTATACAGATGTTGCTGTTATTATTAATTATGCTGTTACACCGCAGTTTGTATCATGGTGTTTGCACTGAGCTACATGCCCAGCCTATCTAATGTATCTATCTGTGTATCTATGTATCTATCTATGTATTTACTTACAATTTTGAGACAGGGTCTCACTAAATTACTAAATTGCCCACACTTTGCTTGAATTTGCTGTCTTCCTGCTTCAGCCTCCCAGAGTGCTGGGATTATAGGCACTCCCTTACCTCACCATACTTTTAATTTTGATGATGTTCAGTTTCCTTGTTTTTTTCCCTTTACTCTTAGATTTGTTCATCATATCTGAGAAACTTGCTTAGCTGGAAGGTACAAAGTTTCCCCATACTTCTTGCTTTTTGGAATTTTATAGTTTTCATTCTTACAAATAGTTCCCCCCACTTTGGGTATTTTTTTTTTTTTTCTTTGTTAAAATTTTGGTTTTTTGAGACAAGGTCTTGCTGTGTAGTGCAGACTTGTCCTAAACTTGCTGTGTGGACCAGGCTGACCTTGAATTTGTGGTCTTCCTATCTCAGCCTATCAAATGTTGAAATTACAGGTGTGTATCACAACACCTGGCTTTTGTTTTGTTTTGTTTGTGACAGAGTCTTACCACGTAGTTCAGGTTGGCATCCAGTTTGCTACGAAACATAATCCAGCCTTGAACTTGAGATCCTTCTGCCTCAACTTTCTGAGTGGTACAGTTCTCTGATTCCTGTCACAGAAAAAAATTTTAGGACTGGTGAGTAAGAGGCCTGGTAAGAACTTACTAGGTAGAGGGTTTTTTGAGACAGTGGCGTGTCACTGTGTAGTTAGGCTGGCCTTGAACTCATCTTGTAGTCCAGGCTCACCCTGAACTGTGGCAATCTTCCTGCCTCAGCCTCCCAAGTGCTGGGATTATGGGTGTGCACCATCATTCCTGGCTTTATTAGGCACAGTTTTAAAAGTGCACACTCAAGGGTGAAATATGGAAATTGAGAGAAGTGAGACCCACTATCTTTTGGAACTGGCCACATTTATGTTTCTCTTGAGGAAGTGGAAATCTATGGAAAAGGTGGCCCATCCCCTGGAATGATAATGGCCTGTTTTACAGGTGAAAGGTGTGAGCTCAGGTTTTTGTTTTAAGATGGATAATTTAAGCATTCTTTGAGTTCTCTTAATTTGTTCCTTTATCCAGGATCAGTTTCCTATTTTTTACTTTGGGCTTAAAGTATTTGTAAGAAGTTTGGGGTGTGGAGGGTCTTTAAGAAAAGAAGCATACATTAAGCTAAAGAATGCTGATGCAGATGACCTTGAGTAACTTTGTGTCCCAGTTGTTACAGTCTTCTTAAAGGTGCAATTCTTTAGATATGGTTTTCCTTGTCTTCTTTTTACCTATCTTTGTTTTTTGTTCTACCTGACTTTTTCTAACTGTTGTACTCATGTGCCCAAGGACTTATCTTACCAGCCACGGTTAAAGCAAAGCCTTTTCATCCCTAGCCACCCTTTTGCTCTGTCCATCTAAATTCTCTGTGTCCTTTTTTCCACTGGTTTTTCTTTTTCTTTCTTTTCTTTTCTTTTTTCTTTTGGTAATACTGGGGATTGAATCCAAGCCTTCATACTGAGCTATAGCCCCAGGCTCTTTTTTTTTTTAAATGGTTTTTGAAATGCTTTTTAAATTTTGAGACAAGTCTTTCTAAGTTATTAACTTGCCACACTGGGTTCAAACTTGCCATCTTCTTCCCCAGCCTCCAGGAATGCTGCAATCACAGGTGTGCACAACTATACCTGGCCCAACTGGTTTCTAGTAGAAGTACTATTATTCATTATTTTTCCCCCTTATTAACAGAGGCTTAGGTTTCCAATTTTTCTCAGGAGAGCAGGACGAAGCAGAAATGTCCTTATTAAAGTTGTCTCTGTAGAAGTCTAATCCCCAAAATGATGGTGGTCATTTTACAGGTGAAAGGTATGAACTCAGGCTTTAGGGAAATGTCTCCAGGTTTGAGAGCTTGAGTTGAGTTGCTGGGTCATAGAGTATACACAATTTTACTTAATAATTAGGTCGTGACATTGCTTTCTGATGGGGCTGGTTGGGTCAGTCCTTCCTGCCTTACTTCCTTTGTGAGAACTCCCTGAGAGCCTCAGCCCGAGGTGCTGAGGTCCTTCATTTCTATTTCCTCTTCTCAGTCTTCCTGTTGCCTCATCTACACTGGAAACTTCTTCTTCTTCTTCTTTTTTTTTGTCTTTTTGAGACAGGGTCTCGCTGTGCAGTTCAGGCTGGTCTTGGGCTCACTTTGTAGCCCAGGCTGGTCTCGAACTCTCAATGATCCTGCCACCTCAGCCTCCCGAGTGCTGGGATTACAGGTGTGAGCCATCATGCCCAGCTGATTACACTGGAAACTTCTTACTTTATGTTGTTATTACAGCACTAGGGGTTGAACTCAGGTTCTTTGTACTGGCTGCTTCCCTAGTCCTTTTTAATCTTTTTTTTGTGTGTGTGACATGCCGGCTAAATTGCCTAGGCTGGCCCTGAGATGGCCAGGCTCTTGTCTTCGGCCTCCCATAGTGTAGGTGTGCATTATAAATACTGTCTGAAAACTTTTTCCCTGATTCATGTCGTTTTTAAAAAGTTACGTCAGTTTATTGGTACATTTTAAGTATACATAATGATCATGTTTATCGTAAGGGATTTGTATCTGTACATGGCACATTGATTCTTTTTTCCCCCATTCTCCTGCCTTCCTTTCAACCCTTGTTCCCCTCCCCATTTACAAAAGCTGTATTTCCATTTTTCCCTTCTTTTCTCATCTTTTCTTTCTTTTCCCTTCCTTTCTCCCTCCTCTCGCCATCTGAGCATTTTCTTTCTATTCCACCGTATCTATTATACATTTTGATCCTTATTTACACTTTCAGTTTATCACACCAGAAAAACAATGTGGTGTATTTGGGTTATTTCACTTCAGGTTTTTTGAGACAGGGTCTCGGTAAGGTAAGAAGCCCAGGCTGACCCAGCACTTGCTGCCATCTTCTTGTCTCAGCCTCCTGAGTGCTAGAATTACTGGCATGCACCACCACCATGTCCAGTTCTCATTTAAGCTTTGAATAGGTTGTATTTGTATTCAGTAGATATTCAAGAGAAGAGCAAGGGCTTCATCCAATGCCTGCCCCTCCCCCACTTCCCATTATTGCCAGTTTCTTACAAGTTTTCCGGGCTATGTGAAGCATATGCAAACAAATAAATGTATATACTTTCCTCCACTTGTTTTTATACTACTTTAGCAATGTCATGCTGGGTGTGATGGCACATGCTTGTATTCCTAGTCCTTGAGACAGGATTGCTCTGGGTTCAGGGCCAGCCTGGGCTGCATAGTGAGTCCAAGGCCTGCCTGAACTACGTAGTGAGAGAGGCTTTTATGACATAATATTAAAAAAAAAAAAAAAAAACCAGAGGCTGGGGATTTAGCTCAGCGGCATAAGCGCCTGCCTTGCAAGCAGATGGTTGTGAGTCCGATCCTTTTGTTTTACCGATAAAAAACAAAAAAGACAAAAAAAAAATTATTATTAGCTGTTGATGCATGCCTATAGTGCCGGCCTTCACGAGGCTAAGGGAGGAGGATCACAAAGCCTGGACCACATAGCAAGACTTAAAAATCCCCCCCCCCAAAGAAAGTTTATACTAATTGTAATTGTAATGTATTATATGATGCTTTACGTGTAAAAAACTTTGAGGCTTGCTTTTTACACTTACTATATCACAGACACTCTTTTATTAGAATATAAACACCTTTATTTCTTTTTATAGATAGATAGATTTATTAAACTAGGCCCTTACTCATGGGCTTTTGTTTTTGAGACAGAATCTGACTCATAGCCCATGGACTATAAGTCATAGGCTGGCTTTGAAATCCTATTGATTCTTTTGCCTCAGTCTCCTGAGTGTGGGGATTATAGGTATGTGCTACCATACCTGGCTCATGGACATTTGTTTATAATCTTTTTTATTAAGAACAATGGTATGTGGCCTTGTGTCCTTTCATAATATGTGTGATATCGTAGGATAAGTTATTAGCGATTAAATTTCTGAGTCAATGAGTGTGTACTTAGGTAATTTTTGAAAAAATTGAGGTGAAATTCACAAAATTAACCCTTTAAAAGTGAATGGCTGGGCATGGTGGTGCACCTGCATTTGGGAGGCTGAGGCAGGAGGACGGTGCAAATTTAAGACCAGTCTGAACTACATAGTGAGAACTTGTCTCAAAACAAACAAACAAACCAAAAAACAACAACAACAGAAGTAAATGGCACTCGATGGCATTTAGCATATTCATAGCGTTGTTCAGGTACCACTTATGTGTAGTTCAAAACATTTCCATCGTTCCAAAATGAATCTTGGCACCCATTAAAGTTACTCTCCTTTCTGTTTTTTTTCTGCTCTGCATTTTTGTTTGTTTTCCTCACTTCCTCCCTCCTTCCCCTTCCAACCTTACCTGCTTCCTTCTCCTCCTCCTTCCCATCTTCCTTCTGGTGGGTCTCATTTTGTTGCCCAGAACTTCTGGGCTCACGTGATTCACCCAAGTAGCAGGCACTGTAACTGTGCACCGCTGCATCAAGCTGCATTTCATTTAAATAATGTTGTACAGTGTGTGGCCTTTCCAGTGTGGCGTCTTTCATTTAGCATGATGTTTTAAAAGTTCTCATGCTGTGTGACATGCTAGTATTTTATTTATTTTTATGATGTCTGAATAATATTCTATTATATGTTAATCTCATAATTTATACATTTATTGGCAGTTGGGTCTTTTCTACCTTTTGAATAGTGTGTGTAGTACTGGTGTGACCACTGGCGTACCCTTTTTTCAGTTCTTTCAGGTTTATACCTAGGAAGAGAATTGCTAAGCCATATGACAGGTTTTTTGGTGCTAGGAATCAAACCTATGCCTGTGTGCATGCTAGGTAAGTGTGGCCCTGGAGCTTACTTAGAGCTTTTTTTCTTTAAATAGCTGTCTTTTTGAGTATGATGTGGCTGCACATGTAATTTTGATGGGTCTTGCCAAATTGTTCTGCCTTGACAATTACATAACATGTGTATGCATTATATTTTTATTGGCAGTGTGTATGTGTACATGCTTCTCTGTGCCTCTTGCCAACAATGTAATATGAGGCTCTTTTTTTTTTTTTTAAATCGGTACTGGGATTGAACTCAAAGACCCACGCGCTTACAAGGCAGGCTTTTATGCTGCTGAGCTAAATCCCCAGCCCTAATATGAGGCTTTTTGATTTTTGTGAATCTGGGGGGTATAGATACTATACTTTTTTGGTTTTAAAAATGTCTTATATCGGGTTAAATAGGCCATCTTTGTCTGTGTTTGAAGCATTTGTTTTTCCTCTTTTGGAAATTGTCTCTTTACATCCTTTGCTCATTTCCCACCAGTTTGTCTTGATTTACTCTTTTTAGGGCTGGGTGTGATGGTACAGGCCTGTAATTCCAGGACTCCAGACTGTGGGAGGAGCATCTCCTTGAGTTTGAGGTCAGATTTGGTTACATAAGCTGAGTAGAAGATTATGTTTGAGTCTAAATACAAAAGAGGAAAGCAGCCTTTCAGGTAGTTGGGATTGAGGATGTGGAGAGGCCACAAAGCCTCTGCTTGGCATATGTGGGTAGAAAAGGAAGCCAGAAGGACTGGGCATATGAGTGGGGGCCCAGAGGCTCCAGGTGACATTGGAATGGAGGCAGAGGCCAGGCGCGGAGCATCTAGTGGACCATGAGTATATGTTCTTTTACTAAGTGTGGTGGGAAGCCTGAGGAAGGTAACAAACAGGAAATTACTCTACTGAAGTACTTTCCAAGTACTTTAAAAGTTATTTGAGAAGTTTTAATGACTGCTTGTATTTCATGGTTCTGTATAAATCATCACTGATTAAACCCACTGTTGTGAAATTTGTGTCTCATCCCATCCCTGCTTTTTTGGTGCTGAGGACTGAATCCAGTGTCTCCGGGATGCTAGCATGTACCCACCAAAGTTATAGCTACCAGCACTCCCTGCCAGTTTGTAATGTTACAAAAATCTTGATAATTAAATCTAATTTTGATTGCCTTGTTAACCTGTTTTCCTACAAGCAGATTTTATAAGCTATTTATTTATTTATTTGTTGGTTGGTTGATTGGTTTATATATACCAGGAATAGAACTCAGGACCTTGCCTTTGGTAGGCGGGGACTTGTGCCACTGATCTGTATCCCCAACTCATATAAGCAATTTTTAAAGGTGCGTGATACAGAAAATTCAACAGCTCTCTGGTGTGTGCTTTTGTTTTACAGAGTGTGTTAATGACAGCTACTGGTTTGGGAGGGATAAAAGCTGTGACTATTGCTTTGATGAACCTCTGCTAAAAAGAACAGATAAATACAGGACATATAGCAAGAAACATTTTCGGATTTTCAGGGTAGGTAAACAATGTGTATATGCTTGGGAAAACTGGTTATCTAGCTGTTGCTCTTGGATATCTTTTAATTACAAATTCCTGCTGTTAAAACTTTAAATAAAATGTCCTCTATTTTAGGAAGTGGGTCCTAAAAACTCTTACATTGCATACATAGAAGATCACAGTGGGAATGGAACCTTTGTAAATACAGAGCTTGTAGGGAAAGGAAAACGTCGTCCTTTGAGTAACAATTCTGAAATTGCACTTTCACTATGTAGAAATAAAGGTAATATTATCATTTTATGATTACTAGATTGTTTTCCTCCCTGCTGTGTAAAAGGGAAAATTTGACTTTGTGCCCTGATAAAGTATGGTTTCAGTGAGTAAAATTAAATTACGACTCAGCACTTAATTCTGCTGTTATCATTGCATTTTTAAATGATAAAGTTTTATTCAGACAGATTTTCTTAGATTTAATTGGTTTGATTGATTTTAAATAAAGCTATATGGTATCATTTGTGTTATCATATTGGCTAAAATACGTTTTAAAATACTTAATTAAGTATTTTAAAGTATTTTAAGTATTTTAAGTATTGTTTAATACTTACTAAAATACATTTTAAAATACTTGATTCAGTTTATACCATATCAGCCTTTCATATGTCTGAATTATTTGAGGTTATTAATTCTTCCTTCTTCCCCCCCTCTTTCTCTTGCTACTTTCCTTCATTTTTTCTGTTAGTTTCTGCATGTATTTATTAAACTCCTTTTGATGCCAAGTGTTAGGCTATGAGTGTTTCTGTAAGAGGCTAAGTTTAGTGGTGCTGGGGTTGGGTGTTGGGCCGTCCGCATATGCTCACTTTCACAAAGCCACTCCTTCAGCAGTCTGTCTTCTTAAATGTCTGGCAGTTATGCTCTGCAAGTGGAGATGTTTCTTACACCTTCAGTAGTATCTTAGAAACATCCACTCCTCAAAACAAGATCATATCTAAAATAGTTTCAGTAAGAGCCAATTCTAGAAGGAATAATTGACAAAAGTGAATTACAGAGTTCTAAGTAGCTCCCACTGACTAAATCTGTGAGCAAAAGGAATACCATTAGAGCAGTTGGTTATATCCTGAGCTCAGTGAATATAAGCAGCAGTTACACTATAGGTTTTCCGTACTATGAGAGTATTTCCATTGGACAGTGAAATTTGACAGCATTTCTCAAAGTTTTGTGCCATGCATTAGTCTAGCTAAATAATGTAATTAAAAACAATTGCCTTATAATAACTACAACTGCATTTTAGAATAAATTATCTAAGTGTATGAATTAATAATCACCCGTCTGCCCTTTTTTCTCTTAGTTTTTGTATTTTTTGATCTGACTGTAGATGATCAGTCAGTTTATCCCAAGCAGTTAAGAGATGAATACATCATATCAAAAACTCTTGGAAGGTAAGTTGTTTTTTTCTTATAGAAACTATACTTCCATTTTTTCCTTCATGTTTGTTATTTGTTAGTTTTTGTCCTGATTTTATAACATTATTTATTCATAACATAATTGTAGGACAACTATTGGTGATGAATGCACTGTATTATTGATTTATTTTACAATGTCAATTTGAACTTTTTTGCTATGTATGTTTTTGTTTTATATATGTATATAAACATGTATTGTATTCTTGTTTGTTTGTTTAATTTTTTTGAGTCAGGGTCTCACTATGTAGCTGAGGCTGGACTTGAATTTGTAGTGATCCTCCTGCCTCAGCTTCCCAAGTATTCATAGTATAGGCATGTGTCCATCTTACTCTTTCAAATTAATTGTAGATCTTAGTGCAAGACCTTGGATTCAATCCTCATCATAAAAGGAAAAAAGTGAATTTTAGTACATTCATAGGGTGGTGCAGTCATCACCATAAATGGTTATTTATTTTTGTCTTTTTGAGACAAGGTTTTGCTATGCAGTTCAGGCTGGTTTTGAACTCACTTTGTAACTCAGGCTGGCCTTAAACACTTGGTAATCCTCCTGTCTCAGCTTCCTGAGTGCTGGGATTATAGGCGTGTGCCAACATAGCAGGCACCATAATCGGTTTTGCAACATGCTCATGTCTGTCTAAAAACACAGTTACATATTTGTCTTGTTTAGAATTTGTATCAACTTGGAACATAAAGTATTGACGGGGCTGGGGATTTAGCTCAGCGGCATAAGCGCCTGCAAGCAGGCAGTAGTGAGTTCAATCCCCAGTACCAATAAAAAGGAAAAAGACAAAAAAAAAAAAAGTATTGACTATTGAATGTAATCTAAATTTTTAGTCTCGGGACTTCCACATTTAAATATTATTGAGGATAGAAGCTTGGGATATAGCTGTGTGGTAGAGTACTTATCTATCATGTAGGAGACCTCAAATTTGATCCCTGATACCAGAACAATTTTGTAAAATTCAAAATTCTTGAGGACTCCAAAGAGCTTTGATTTTGTAGTTTAAATCTATTGATTTACAGTATTAGAAATTAAAATTGAGAAAAATGTTTATAATATTAATTGACTAGATTTACTAAAGTTAATAACATTTTAAATAAAAATAATTATTAAAAAGAGAGGTATTGGTCAATGTATTTATGAATCCTTTTAACATGTGAGTTATTAATTTGTTTTTTTGGTACTGGAGCTCAAACTCACAACCTTTCGCTTGCCAGACAGGCGCTTTATACCTTTGAGCTAAATCCCCAGTCCTAACATCTGAGTTATTTAGTTGCAGTCAGCATGGCCTAGAGGTCTATGGGTCTGTGTTTAGAAGGTGACTGAGTACTGAAGTTTGATTTTTCACTCAGTCTGTTATGGGTATTACATGCTTTTGTAGCCTCTAGGAAAACGCTATTGTAGACTCAGGAGAAAATGAGATTGAAAAAGACAAGTAAGGTCTTGGTAATATTCTAACTGTGGAGGCCCGGGAGTCTTGGTCTTGTAAGGGCTGCCCAACCAGGCTGTGAGAATTGTTGCTTTAGGAAAGGAATTCAGGATACTTGTTTGTATTATACAATGTCTTTCACCCATTTCTTCCCACTTGGAAAGGCCTTTCTGTTGAATTATGCTGTATATCTAGTGGTATATTTGTTTGTTTTTTTGTTTTGTGGTACTGGGCATGGGGCCTCACACATGCTGTGTGCTCCACCAATGAGCTGCTTTCTCAGATACTGATGTCAGATATCCTCTTGTTATTTATATATTTATTTTTTGTATTGAAAATCAAACTCGAGACCTTGTACTGAACAGCAGGTGCTGTACCACTGAGCTATATCCCTGGCCCTCTTCTTGGTATTTTTTGAATATGAACATAGAAAGTATATAGAAGGAAATAACCTTTAGATGTGAACAACAAAAAGACAAGCAATCTCAAAGGAGGGGGACAGAAAGGGCTCAAAGAGACATTTCCATAAAGAAAACACATAAATGGCCAAGAACACATGAAAAGATGCGCAATGTCATTAGTCTCTCAAAGAAACACATGAACACTACATTGAGATAACACTTCATACCAATCCCCCAGGACGGTCATAATAAAGAGGAAAAAATTAACAAGTGTTGATGAAGATGTAGAGACATTGGAACCACTGTGCAGTGCTGGTAGGAATGTAAATAGTGCAACCGCTATGTGAAACAGTTTGGTCTCTAAACGTTAAACAGAATTAGTTGTATGACCTGGAAATTCTCTTCAGAGAATTTTTCTGTTTTCTTTTTTATGCTTGTGCTTTTGGTGTCATATTTATGAAACAGTTCACAAAAAGGGAAAACAACTGAAATAAGTGTTGAAAGATGGTGGATATTTCAATGAGCTGGCACATGGCCATAATCCCAACTACTTGGGAGGCTGAGCCTGGAGGATTGCAAATTCAAGGTCAGCCTGGTCAGCTTAGCTGAACCCTATCTCAAAATAAAATAAGAAGGAATGGGAATATAACTTAATGCTAACTCAGTCCTCAGTACAAATAAAGTGGGGGAGTGGTGTAGGAGATAAACAAAATGTGACATTGCGATATAATAGAATATTATTCAGCTACAAAAAAGAAGTGAACTACTTGGGTCCCGTGCAAGTACCTATAGTTCCAGCTACTCTGAAAGCTGAGGCAGGAGAGTTTGAAGTTTGAGTGCAGCCAGAGCAACTTAGGAAAACCCTGTCTCAGAAAAAAGGGTGATTGGGATATACCTCAGTGATACAGCATTTGCATAGTACAAGTGAAACTCTGACTTTAATCTGCAGCAGCGTAAGAACAAAGCATACACACACACAGACATACACACAAACTAATAAAATAAACCTTGCCTTGTAAAGATCACAAAGGTAAGTTTTGTATGAATTTAACATAGTAAAAAATACGTCTTGGTAAGCCCGCCACCTTACTCCCTTAAAACCTATACTTCTCATTGTCTATTTCAAGCAGATCAAGATAAATGGTTTGTATTGTGGTAGCCTTTACTTTGGGCTGACCCAAGCTTTGGAAAGCCTAGCTTACTCAGGCTTGAGCTGCCAGTGGTACATGCATGACTGTCTCACTGAGTGACTTTTTGTTTATTAGTAGAAAGACTGATAAAAATGATTAGATTCATTTGTACTGCCAGTGGTACAAGCTGCTTGATGGGATAGTCACACATATATCACCCAGTGGTTCAAGCCACCCAGCAGTGAGACATGAATTATGGCCCCTTCATGAATATGTTAAGTGTGTGCTGCATAGCATCCTAGATAGCATTCCTCCTCCTCCATTAGTAATACCCTCGTTAGCTATAAACCTTTGTGAGAGGCTGCTATAAGCAAGTAACTTGTGTAATACTTTCAGATTTGATGTCAGGTGCAATTCATGTCATCAGTGGCTTATGCATTCTTGGGGATTTTTTTTTTTTTTTTTGTCTTTTTGAGACAGGGTCTCGCTGTGCAGTTCAGGCTGGCCTTGAGCTCACTTTGTAGCCCAGGCTTGTCTCAAACTTACAACGATCCTCCTGCCTCAGCCTCCCAAGGGCTGGGATTACAGGGGTGAGCCACCATACCCGGCTGCCTTATGCATTCTTTAAAGATAGAGAATAAGGATAAAGAAATGTGCCAGTGAAACTATTTCATCTGCATATTCTGTTGACTATTACTTGTTTTGAGCAGGGAGGAATGTTCTTATTGGTGTGTCTGTGACTCATTTTTGACCAGAGAAGAATGTTCTAGTTGGTATGTCTATGATCTTTAGGACAAGTTACTTGTCACTCACCTTGGAAATAGAATTTGGAGCTGACTCAGTGTGGTTAGATGACCTACATCCACTTACGCCCTTGATACTTTGCATTGTTAAAATTTCACTGTGTCCCGTGATAATAGAAAAAATAAAAGTTGTCTTTAACTTCTAATACTCAGGAAGAGTTGAGTGTGGTGGGTGTTACGATTAAAAACATCCTGAAAAGTCACTGTCTGTTTTTCTCTCTAGTGGTGCTTGTGGAGAAGTAAAGCTGGCTTTTGAGAGGAAAACGTGTAAGAAAGTAGCCATAAAGATCATCAGCAAAAGGAAATTTGCTATTGGCTCTTTGAAAGAGTCAGTAAGTACCTGTGTTAGTGGCTGCTCTGCTTTTTCTTACACTTCCTTATAACTTCCCTAGGTAATCTTTGACACTTTTCAAACTCGGCAAGAATTGACTGCTCAGACACAGTAATATGTGATTATCAAAGAACATCAAAAAGTGCTTGCTTCAGTGGCACAAACACTAAAAGAATACTAACAAGTTTCAAGAATCTTTAACTTAGAAAATTTTACTTACAGATAATCTGGGTCTAAAAATATTTGGTTGTAACTAATAATGTACATGGAAGGGAGGTTTTTTTCCCCCCTTCCTGTTCCAAATTGTTACAGGACTGCTTTTACAATAATTGAAAGGAAATTAGGGAAAAAATTCCAACCATAATCCTGCTGTTGCAACTCTACAGCTGTTTTCAGTTTTCCTTTTCTTTCTAGTCTTGGTCTGTACAAATCTGTGTTTTTAGCTGATTGAAATCTTATTGTATGTACAACTGGGCATTCTGCTTTCCACATGTGCTGGAGAGCATACGCTTCCCCACATACATTTTTCTTTTTGATGATTATGTCCATTTCATCAACTTTATCATGATTTTATTTATTTGCAATCCTATCAAACATTTAATCAATTTCTGTATTGTCAGTGGAAATTAAATTTCTTGAGGGCTGGAGCTGTATTGAGAAATAAAAATTTGAAAACTAATAAAAATTTGATTTCAGCCTGTCATAAGTGTTGCATGGGGGCTGGGGATGTATGTAGCCCAATGTCTTCAAGGCAAGGGTGAAGCCCTGAATTCAATTTCTGTTACCCCCCTCTCCGCCCAAAAAAGTGTGCACTCTTTTCTGAACTTTTATCTTGAAAACAGTTTTCAAAAATGTAACATTTCCAGCACTCTCAAAATGTATCATTTCAGCTTGTTATACAATTGAGGATCTTTCTGACTTCAAGTTTTGAAGTATGAAGAATCACAACAGCAAAAAATAGTAATGATCCATTAATAACAGTGCATTTGTTTTCCAAGCCCTGCCCCAGCCTTCTTTCTCTGAGTGTGTTCCTTAAAGTGGTAGAGATGTCCAAAGACTCAGTGTATTGGTTAGCTTTCTGTCACAAAAATCCTGAGAAAATTAAAGAGAGGAAAGATTTATTTTGGCTCACAGTTTTGGAGGTGTCAGCCTAGTCACTTGGCTTAGTTTCTGGGTCTGTGATCAGGCAGTACATCATGGTGAGGAGTATTCTGGGCATTGAAACTGTTCCTCTCGTGGTGCTCAGGAAGTAAAGATTGAGAGGGGAGGGAAGGGGCCAGGGACAAAATATATACACAGTACAAGGGCATGCCCCAGAGACCTGCCTCCTCCACAGATCTCTACTGAAGTTCCCACCACCTCCCAGTAGCCTATTAAGCAGTCACCTTGGAAAGGTACCCCTGACCACTGTTGCACCTAGGACCAAGTCTTTAAACATTGGCTTTTAGGGAACACTCAAGATCTACACTGTAACCACCAGTAAAGCAGCATTTCTTGTGCTTTCCCTGCTTAGTATTCAGTTCTGTAACTGTCACTTGAACTCTGTACAAATGCTCTGAATGATCCTAGAGAAAAATTTCTAGGTACTCATTCACAAAAAAGGAGTGGTCTCAACTTTTTAATAATTTATCCCACCATTTTTTTTGTTAGTCATTGAGGTAATTCCCAGTGAATTACTCTGCTCTTTTGGATCGTAGAGCAATGAATATCTCAGTATTCATGGATTAGTTACAGATTTTTTTTTCTTTTTTGTGGTAGTAGGGATCCAGCTCAGGGCTTCATGCATGCTATACAAATGTTCTTACCAATGAGCTACGCCCTTAGCCTTTAGTATAGATTTTTCAGAGTTAAGTTGTTTAAATTATTTCTATATAGTACGTATCATTTTATTGCCTTTTCTGAAATCTATATTTACTGTATAGATGATGTAGCTGAATGTATTGGTCTTTGCACATATGGCCTGAGAAAGTAATGTAAAACATAGTCTGTAATCATATTTTCCTTTCTCGGCCAGCTGTTTCTGGCTATTATACTTTAACATTCCTTAAAGGTTTTTTTTTCCCTAGACAATGCCATTCTCACATGGCAGGAAGAATTTCCTTTCTGTGTTCACTTTGTTACAGACCTTTTCCCTTGTGATTCTGGTTTGCTTTCTGTTTGGAAAAGAAAATACCTACCAGATCAATAATTAAAAAAAAAAGTAAAATTCTACTTGTTAATTTCACTGTACAGTCATGCTGGACTCCTTATGACCTCTGTATTTTCAGAGTGCTACACCCTGATGTGCTAATGAGTGTTAACGGCTTACAGGAAGAGGCAGGCTTTTAAAATTAAACATCTGGGGTTTCCTAGCTGAGTCCATTTGACATGAATGTGTAATTCTATATTCTCTTTGCTCGTGGAGGGTGTAGCCCTAGAAGTTGAGTTACTTGATTCATGTTTTGAAATCGTAATGGGGAACAATGTCAGTACACCAAAGCTTCCTCCCCTCAGAGTCTCACTGAGTTTGTTATCCTGTATTTAAAGGTGGAACCTGTCTATCCTCAGTCATTAGAAATTTTACTTGACATTTTCTTCATATGGTTTAATCAAAGCTTATACTCTATACTCTTCACTTATTTTACCATGTTTTTAAATGTATTTACTTCCATAGCTAATGAAGTTGAGGGAGAGGTTACCAATAATAGATGAAAAGAATGGGAAACACACTTGCTTATGGCAGCAGAAATTGGCATAAGTAATTTGTTTTCTGAGACTCAGTTGCCTATTCTGTAAAATGGGGATAATTATAGAATTTACTTCATTTGAGGATTAGATGGTTATGTGACATAATTTTGTACATAAAGAGCTTGGTGCAAGACCTGGCTGTTTATTGAATGTCTGTAATTTGCCAAGCATTTTGCAAAGTAATTTTTCATGACTTATTTAATTCATTGACCTCTGTCTTTGTTTCTTTGTATAAATAGAGCCTAGTTTGAATTCAGGCAGTCTTTACTCAGTTAAGTTTAATTGTAAACATTTAAAAAATAATGGCTGTTGTTATTATTGATAAACTGTTATTCTCTTTATCCAAGGACCCAGCTCTTAATGTTGAAACTGAAATAGAAATTTTGAAAAAACTGAACCATGTAAGTACTTGTAAAATATGATTTATATGTAAGCTCAAAATATGGGAAGCAGATCAGTTATTTCAATATCACAGAGCTAGTTTTAACCTGGGTTATTTACTTTCTATCTGTAGGTGGCATATATACATGCATCTAGCTGTCATTTATCTTGGAAAACTTTTACTTCAAAATTTTGAGGGATAATACTTCATAAGTGTTTACGATTTCATGAATAATTATACAGTATTTTTACTTAGTTCTTCTTTTGTTTGTTTGTTTGTTTTCTTTTTGAGATAGGGTCTTGCTGTATAGTCCAGGTTGGCCTTGAATTTACTATCTAGCCTAGCCTGACTTTAAACTTGAGGCTCATTCTTCTGCTTCAGCCTCCTGAGTTTTTGGGATTTACAAGCATGTGCCACTATACTTGGCTTCTGACCAAAGTCTGTATCATATAGACTTCATCAACTAATTATGTATGTGAAGACAAGGCTAATTAATTTGATTTAACACTTTTAAGTACTTCGGCATGGGGATATAGTTTGGTGATAGATCATTTGCTTAGTGAGACCCAGTTTGGTCCCCTGTACTAATCTGAGTAGAACCAAGGATAACTAATAAGTATGGCAACACCCTGTCCTCATGTCTGATCGTATGGTGTTGGTGGCTCTGCTGGCTGTAAATAATTCTTATTCTTGTAGCAGGAGGATTGTAAGTTTGAGCTGAACTTGGGCTATTTAGTGACTTAGTGACACTCTGTCTAAAAATAAAGTACTGGAATGTGGCCCAGTGCGAAGGCTCTGGGTTCAATCTCCACCAAAAAAAAAAAAAAAGAAAAAATTTTCTTTTTTTTTGTGCAGTGATGACTTTTTCTCAGTGTATGGTATATCTCAATTCAAAAACATGAAAACAAAAAGTTGAAGTGTGGTTTGGATCCTATTTTTCTTTTTATTGGTTCTTTCAGTTTCTTCATCAGTTCATGAGTGTTTGTGAAGCCAAAAGCCTTCGAGTTAAACTTGTGACCACTGCAGACATATCCAACCTGTGGTCTGCAGTCCTTCCACTTTCTTTTTTTTTTTAAACTTATAATAATAAATATATTTTAAAAGGGAAGTTTTATTACTTATATATTAGCTACATTATATATTCTATATGTGGCTCAAGACAACACCTCTTGACTTAATGTAGCCCAGGCAAGTCAAAAGGTTACACAGGTTCTTATAAAATCAGAATGTCTCTCTTCTCCTGGAACAACGGGAGGCCCTTGTCACGTTGGCTCCCATTCCCCTGTCCCCTGGAAGGACATCCTTGTATAGGAAATCCGGTCTAGTTCCTCACCGACGTGGTGGCGTGCAATGTTTCCTGCATGTACTCACTGAGTCGACTAGATTTTGTTTTGTCTTCTCTGCTGCTTCAACTTCAGAGGATCCAGAGACAGGGAGCCAGATGCCTGGTCTTGGCCTTCGTGACTCTCTGGGCAAATGTCTCAAATTCTATGGCATTAGTCGTTTTCCCTCTTGAAAGTTTTTTCTCACTACTTTTCTTTGTTTCCTTTTTTTTTTAGCCTTGTATCATCAAGATTAAAAACTTTTTTGATGCAGAAGATTATTACATTGTTTTGGAGTTGTAAGTAGTACATGTTTTGCATTTATGTTTCTCTTTAAGTGCTCATATACCAGCAACGAATTGAATGTACTTACCTTTCTTATCTTGGGGACCCTCAACATGTATGTACATGGTAGTAGGACCCACAGTGTGTGTGTGTGAGTGTGTGTGTGTGTGTGTGTGTGTGTGTGTGTGTGAATATCACTTCTAAAAACCCTCCCATGTTTCCGAAAGCATTTAGTTTGGGATTCCAGGTCTTATATCTGAGGTTCAAACCTGGGTTTGAACTCTACGTGTGAGCAGCTAAGCACCCATGGGTGAGTTATTTCACTTCTCTGAGCCTGGTTTTCTTAATATTAAATGAAGATATTAATGATATCCCATGTGTAAAAATCTTGTAAGGATGATATACGATGGAACTGAAAACCTTCACAGAGAGTGCCTGGCAACTTTGGCTTCATACTACTATTCTGCAGCTCCCTGACCGAGTGTGTCTTTCTGCTCAGAATCATGGAACTTTGTAGAGTATCCTTCAGAGTCTTGCTACTTCAGAGGCCACATTGGTCTAGTTTCACCACGTATGACCAAAATAGTTTCCTGTTTTATTCCTGGGAGAGGCCGGGCTCATGTCCATTCCTGCATAAATTTGCAGTGCTTCTGGGAATGGTTGTTGTGGCAGGAGAGTATGCGTTGTTGTTGGCCGGCAAACAGTGATTATTCAGGTTGACCTTGAGATTACATAATAAATCGGAGTCCTGATAGGAGCACTGGGCTATACTTGAATGCCTAGGGAATGTTGCTACTAAGTGGAAGACTGTTACTTGACTGGATCCAATTACCACAGTTTAATAATTCTGGCAAAACAGTAACAGTAACTGTTACTATGAATCAAGTACTGCTATAAACACTTTATGTGTATTGACACATTTATGCTTTATAATAATCTTATAGGTTGATTACGAGTTATTGGTACGTTACTGTTTTTAGACTTCCTTAAAGAAAAGACAGTTGAATCACAGAGGAAATGCACAGCCTTTTTGAGCAACTACACCAGGCCAGGTACCTTACTTACGTCAGTTAGCTCTTAGATTTTCACACTAGCCATCATGGTAGGTGGTTGTCTTGGTCACTTTCTCTGTGGTGGAACAGAATGCCTGATATCTACAGCTTGAAGGAGGAGAGTTTTTCTTTTGGCTCCAGTTTTAGAAGTTTCAGTCCATGTTTAGCAGGCTCAAACACAGAAAACAGCCTGGTGGAAGGGTCTGCTGCTGAGGAAAGGGGCTCACGTCATGGCACTCAGGAGGCAGAGAGGGAAGAGAGGAGCCGGGAGGGAGAGATACCCTTCTAGTCAGACCCCTCTAATGCAGCCCCACCTCCTGGCAGAAGTCAGCTGTAGTGTCCCCATGGTTTAGTCACCTTCCAAAAGCTCTTCTCCTCCAGCACGTGAGGCTCTTGGTAGACATGTAGATTCAAACCATAACAATGATATTATCCCCATTTCTTTTAAGCTCAGAGAAGTTAAATATCTCACCCAAAGTCTTCTAGCTGGGAAGTGGTGGCGTTGGAATTCAGACCCCCATTGCCTGATTGTAAGTGTCAGCTTCCTCTTCTGTGTTAGCTCCCAACTCGTGATAAGAATGTAGACTCCTAACCAGGTGTGACGGTATTTGCCTGTACCCCCAGTGACTGAGGGAGGCCGAGGCAGGAGGACTACAAGTTTGAGTCTGCCTAAGTAATTTAGTGAGACTGTGTCTCAAAAAAGAGCTGGGAATGTGGCTCAGTAGTTACGTGCCCATGGGTTCCATTCTTAGTATGGTTAAAAAGAAAAGAGAGGAAAAAAGCAAACTCCTAGGCGCTACCTGTGGTCTGCTGAACCCATGTATAGGGCCTTTCCAGTAACCCACATGCTTAGCCCATTTATTTTAGTCTTTTGAAGTGTGGTTTTAGTAAGTTTTTGAGTTGTCCATGCTGGACTTGAACTTCAGTCATCCTGCCTCAGCTTCCCAGAGTGCCGGGGCGTGCACCCCTCTGCCTGGCTTGAGTTCAGTTTTTAAAAGCTCTCCAAGTATCAGCACCCCTTGCACATTCCTTCTGTTCTCTTCTTTCCAACTGGAACATCTGATTAAAAATGGGAGTCAAAAGTGAAGTAAAAATATTTTCTTTTTTTAAAGAATTTTATTTAAAGAAAGACTAAACAAAACAAAATGGGTAGAAATAATACATACGTTCCACTAGTTAATGTTTACATACTGTCTCTTTACAAATAGTTTAAGATACAAAACTGGAACATATAAAGTGGGAATTCAAACAGTGAGACTACAAATAGTTCTGTTCAACTATCCAACAAACACTTAGAATTATGGTTGTCAATCCTATACACTTAAACATACGTGCAGTTATCCATATCATCATTTATGTTGAGATTAAACAAACTAAAGCAGGCTAAAGTCATTCTGAACAAATAATAATAGTATTGCTGGATTTCACATCATGACACTCCGGGATCAGCACTGGGTACTGTACTGTCTTTTTCATTTTATTTAAAGAAAGACTAATCAAAACAGAAAATGGGTAGAAATAATACATACTTTCAAAGAAAAAAAATAAACTAAGAAATCACTAGCTGATGATTACAGATTGTCCTCTTACAAATACATATTCAAGATACTAAAGTGGAGCATATAAAGTGGGGATTCAAACTGAGATTGCAACCAATTCTGTTCAACTATCCAACAAAAACTTAGAAATATATTTATCAATCCTATACACTTAAATATACATGCATTTTATCCATATCTTCAATTATGTTGAGATTGAACAAACCCAAGCAGGCTAATGTCACTCTGAACAAAGAATAATACTATTCCTGGGTATCTCATTATGACACTCCAGGAGCAGCACTGGGTACTTTAGTGTCTCTTTTTTTTTCAAAGTATCTGTTCATTTCATCATGTGTCATAAGATCGGTTCTCATAAACTGTTTACAGATTCTACACATGCATGAGTCCTAACATGTATTTCTATCCTTTCTATATTAGAAACAAAACAAAGCAAGACAAAAGAAAACATATTCCTATAAACGCATGAAACAAAACAGACATGTAAGACCATTGCACAAGGAGTTCTACCATAGTTCCTGTGTTGTCTCTTGTTATCTTCAATAGAATTGGCTATATCATCAGTCATAGTATAATTGAATAAATCAGTACATAACAGTATTTAAAAAACACAATTTTGTATATAGTATAAAACTTCAAAAGTAGGTAGTTATCAAACCAGAATGTGTCTTAGAGTCTTGTCATCTTCAGTGTAGTTTTGAATAAAATCTGTCGATACCAAACAGCAATCAGACAAACCAGATTTAACTAAGATCAGTCATGATAAAACAGTGTAAGTCATACAGGGCTCCAGATTAAGTTAATAGGAAATTAAAGATGATTGCTGTGCTATATTCTGATGTTTTGGGGATAGCTGTCTGTGCCCTCAAATCTAATGCAAGTAGACAAACTAGGACAGAATAAAATCTATCTAAGCAGATGTGTGTTTTAAATCCTGATACACTATTAGTGATATCTTCTGCCATTTTTTTAAGACTCTCCCTCCCCTTTCACTTCTCCAGGGTACACTGTGTATTTTTGGGTCTGACCAAGACCCTTGGTTTTAATTTGGGGGGTAGGGGCAACTTATTATTTACCTAAGTGGTCCCAAACCTCTCTCCTGGACTTGATCTCTAATTGTATTCTTTTACGTATGAAAGCCTGTCTTTCTAACCTATCCACAAATACTGGTCGAGTTGCCCCTATTACTCTCTGGTTGTCTATCACATAGAGCATTGTTTTCTCATATTAGATTTTCAGTCCATGTACTCCTTTTGATGTTATATTTCCTATAAATAGCATCTTGGTGGACCCTGCCTCCTGATCTACTCCACATGTGGTTCTTTTTTTTTTTAATTTAGTGTATCAAGGCCATCTATATCAGAGATTATATCCAACCTTCTCTGCCTCATTTTTGTAAAAATATTTTCTTGTCCTAATTTTTTGCTTGTGCTTATTTTCTGTCCAAGTAAATTTCCTTGCTTTGCCTGTATTTTTCAGGATGGAAGGGGGAGAGCTGTTTGACAGGGTTGTGGGACACAAACGTCTGAAGGAAACTACCTGCAAGCTCTATTTTTACCAGATGCTATTGGCTGTCCAGGTAAGAGAAGCCCCCAGTTACGTGAATTACTGCCTGAATTAGGCAGAAACAGAGGAACTGGGGATTAAAATTCAGAAGCAAGTCTGTGTTTGTTGTTCTGTTCTTGGCAAAAACATCTTCCCCTTTGATTTAGATGACAAAGCTCTTGCTGTGAAATTAAGACACAGTGAGAAAGGGAACTAAGAGCTGAGAGGCAGCACAGTGGTGGAGTGCTTGCCTAGCATGCGCCAGCCCTGGGGTTCAGTCTCCAGAATTTGTGAAAGAAAAGGCAGGGGGAGCAGGGAGACTAAAGAAATGAATACACTGTCTCATTCTCCTCTCTTTAGTTTGGAGCTCTTTCTGAAGGAGCATTGATTTCTACATTGGCTTGATCCTTGTGGAAATCCTCCTTAATTCTCAGAGTGGGAGCTGGACAAGGTTCATGAGTTGGGCAGGTTCAGACTGATGGTTTGCTGTTCCTGGCAGGTGGGCAGGGCACATGCATAACCTTCTCTCATGAGGGTGTTGATGGAAGAACAGTTAGGGACAGTTTTCTTTGTGGACATCACCATTTTCCAAACCAAATTTGGGTCTTGTGATTCCCTGCCAGTTTTCTCTTTTGAAAACCCACTCGTTTTTTGTCTTTTTCCTTTTTATCGGTACCGGGGATTGAACTCATGACCGCCTGCTTCCAAGGCAGGTGCTTATGCCGCTGAGCTAAATCCCCAGCCCCTAAAACCCACTTCTTGGGCAGATGGGGCTCTAGCTCAGTGGTACAGTCCTTGCCCAGGACGCGTGAAACCATGAGTTCAGTCCCATGTGCTACAAATAGAAACCAACCAAAAACAACTTCATGAGAGAAGCACATCTGTTTGGAGCCTTTCTTGGATTGAACAAGATTTTTCTGGAGTTTGTCCACCTGGGTTTGTTTCCTTTGAAGTTTTCCCCAAATCCATTTCCTACTGGAAGTGTTTGGAAAGGATTTGCCCTTAGCAGGGGCATATTAGACGAGGCTGAATTTTTTTTTGTTTTGGGGATTGAACCCAGGGACTGATCCTTGTGCATGATGGGCAAATGTTCTACTGACGAGCTGTCTCTCCTGGACGAAAGCAGTTTTTAATGGCAGCTGTGACCTATCCAGTGCTTGACTTGCACTTTGGTTTATTCCCTCGCTCTTTTATATTTATTGAATGACACTGTGAAGACACTGGATATGGTATACTTTTGATTCCTAATACAATATGACTGTGACATAGTATATTGATGCTTTGTGTGTTCTTTTTATTTTTTTCCAGGCTTTTGAGACAAGGTCTTGTTACATAGTTCAGGCTGGCCTAGAAGTCACTATATAGCATTGTATAGCATAGTCTGACCTCACATTTGTAGCAATCCTCTTGCTACAAATCCTCTTGTACTGAGATTGCAGGTGTGCGCCACCATGTTTGGTAGTGTGTTTATTTTTATATGCTATTTCAGATTAGAGAGTTTTTGAAGACTAGAGTCAGGCTTTGCATCTAAGAATAGGTTAATTCTGGGTATTTGTACAGATAATTTACAAATACATAAAATTATTTATTTCGTTGCCTGGTTTTTTTTTTTTTTTTTTTTTGAGACAGGGTCTCACTATGTAGTTTAGCTGACTGAATTCACTATGTAGCTCTAACTGACCTTGAACTCTTGGCAGTCCTTCTGTCTCAGCCTCCCACCTGCGTGTGCCACCATGCCTGGCATTTATTTATTTTTGAGGCAGAGTTTTGGTCTGTAATTCAGACAAGCCTTAAACTTGTGATCTTCTTGGTCAGCCTCTTGGGGCCTGAAGCTATAGGCTTGTGTCATTACACCCAGGCCAACATATTTCTTGGTGGAATTTTCATAGTTATTTTGTTATGTTTTTAGAATAATTTTCTATTACTCATTTAATTATCTTTCCCCCACTGTACTGGGGATTGAACTCAGGGAACATTGAGTTCAATGGTAGAGTACTTGCCTAGAATGCATGAGTCCTTCCAAATGTGTGTGTGTGTGTGTGTGTGTGTGTGTGTGTATCTATCTATCTATATAATTTTTTTTTACTTTTGACACAAGGTCTTACTACGTTTCCCAGGGTGGTATAGGATTTGCAGTCCCCTGACTCAGCCTCTCAAATAGAGGAGATTAGAGACATTCACCATCGTAAGCAGCACAATTAAATTTTAGTTAAAGCTGAGCATGCTGGTGCATGCCTGTGATCTTAGCACTTGGGAGGCTGAGGCAGGAGGATCTCTGAGTTCCAGGCCAGCCCTGGGGTACATAGTGAGTTCAAGTTCAGCCTGTATTACCAGCAAAACTCTATCTTAATTTGTTTTTATTACAATAGAAACTTTAAATATCATTTAAATTATTTTTCAGAATTGTGAATTATAAGAGTTATTATTCTAAGTTGCTTTTTTCATTTTTACTGCTGTTTAAGGATATTTGGGAAATGTTTATAAACTAACCCATTTAATTTACAGTTTTCTCTGATTTCAAAAATATAATTGTATATATCAGCATACAGTTCCACTCAGCCTGAGATGTATGTCCGTATTCATATATCCACTGTATATATCTAAGGATCACACCTCCCTTTCTGTGTAGTACCTTCATGAAAATGGGATTATACATCGGGATTTAAAACCAGAGAATGTTCTACTGTCATCTCAAGAAGATGACTGTCTTATAAAGGTAAGAAATACTGTGTTCCGCATGTGGACATTCCAGTAGATCTCTGCTTAGAAACTGTCTTTTAACTCATCGGGTTAAAAAAAAATGAGATCATGAAAAGGCTGAAACACTGACCTTTCCACTTGGAGCAATTATTGTAGAAGTCAGACGGTGTTGCAGTGCTCTGCAGTGTAATGAGTAATTGAGCTTCACTGTATACAAGCCACTTTTGTGCAAAGAGGGGAGGTCTAAGAGACTCAGTGAATCAGAAAGCCTGCCTTGTCTTCTTTGTTAAGCCTAGTTTCACTTTAGAATTTCCTGTTAGGACTTTTAAAATGACAAACAAACTAAAAGCACCCAGGCTACCTCAGAATCCGAGCATGGTACACATTTTGAACTCACTTTGTAGCTCAAGCTGGCCTCGAACTTGCAGCAATCCTCCTGCCTCAAGCTCTTAAGGATTATAAGCATTTTTTTTTTTTTCAACTTTTCTTTAGCTCCTCAGACATTCCTTGGGTAGTGAAGTTTGGAAATCTGAGTCTAAGAAGAACCAGGGATAATTAATTTGAATTGTATAGTGTTTGTGGCAAGGGTTATAACTTCTTATAAGGTTACACAGAACAGAGGACAGTTGGAAAATCTGGTTCTTGAGGCTCTTATGTTCAGGGATTTATTCCAGTCTTGAACTCACTGCATAGCCCAAGCGACCTTAAGTTTCAGATCCTCCTGCCTCAGTTCTCCAGTACCTAGATTACAGAAGTGCAGAGCCCTCCCAGCTTTGTAGATTTGATTTATTTTTTGGTTTCTTGAGCCAGGAACTTGTAGTTCAGATTGGCCTTGAACTCTATGTAGCCCAGGCTGGCCTCAAACTCAAAAGTGAATCCCCCTGCCTCAGCGTCCTGAATGCTGTGATTATAGGCAAGTGCCATGATGCCTGGCTCAGATTTTATTGTAAGCAAAATCAAATCCTTTAGCTTTGAAAGATAGGAATTTATAATTGATCGTGGTGGCCCATACTTCTAATCCCAACACTCAGGAGGCTGAGGCAGGAGAATCACTAGAGATTCAAGGACAGCCAGAACCTGCAGTGACCCTGTCTCAAAAAAGTCCAAAGAAATGCTGGTCATAGTAGCCTACACCTGTACTCTCAGCACTCAGGAGGCTGAGGCAGGAAGATTACTGTGAGTTTGAGGTTAGCCTGACCTCCACGAGACTCAAAAAAAGAAACCTAAAAAAGCTCAAAAGATAATGAATTTGTTTCAGATAAACTGTGTCAACTGTACAGTAAAAACTGTCTGGATTTACATGTCTTTGAGGACAACAGAGTATGATCTTTTTATTTTATGAGATTGTTAAAAGTTACTTATTTTGTCCTTAATTTTAGATTACTGATTTTGGGCAGTCCAAGATTTTGGGGGAGACCTCTCTCATGAGAACTTTATGTGGTACCCCCACTTACTTGGCTCCTGAGGTTCTTCTTTCTGTTGGGACTACGGGGTATAACCGAGCTGTGGACTGCTGGAGTTTAGGAGTTATTCTTTTTATCTGGTAAGAAAAGTTTTCATCACTTCACTATCTGGTTGGAGGTGATTAAGTGAAATCATAAATGTGTTCAGGTAGAGAGCTTGTGTTTAATTTCAGTCACTTTTTGATCATTGATTTAAAGAAAAACTTGATTTTTTCATTATGCCGAAAAAGAAAGCTATACATCTGAATGCTGCTGAGAATACCACTTGATTTCTTTTCCTTTCTCTCTCTACCAATGTTAAGCCTTAGTGGGTATCCACCTTTCTCTGAGCATAAGACTCAAGTGTCACTGAAGGATCAGATCACCAGTGGAAAGTACACCTTCATTCCTGAAGTCTGGGCAGATGTCTCAGAGAAGGGTATGGATACGAAAGGGTTAAGAATTTGTGGTTTACTGAAATGTAAGTGTGCTGTTGGTGGGAGTTTCTCTTCCAGCTCTATGGTGTTTTCTCCTGTTGACTCTGTCTTAGTTTCTGTTGTCAGTTTTACATCATTTGAGCAGAGGAAATTATGATCATGGGTTCCAGAATCCAAACTCAAGTCATGGGTCTAGTATTTACCAGCTGTGTGACCTTAACCAAGTTACCTAACCTCTCTGAGTCTTCATTTTCTTTATTTGTAAAGGAGCCTTCAATAACTCCTGCTTGAAAGAATTTTTGTGAAGATTAAGTATAACGTACACAAGTGCTGGGTACCTACCTATTTAAAAATGCAAAATAAATAACTTTTTACTATAAGCTTTTTGTAAGTAGCATGTAAAAGGGCAACATTAGTTACCTTGTGTTTTATAATTTAAAAGTGCAACCTCGTAACTCTCTGAAGAAAAAGTAGGTTAAAATAAAATGTCCACTAATATAGGTGGTTGCATGAAATGTCAGTATGTTTAAGGCACGTCTTTTGTTTTGTTTTATGTTATGTCTTTGTGAGACAGGGTCTCGCTAGGCAGTTCAGGCTGCCCGTAACTTGCTATGTAACGAGGCTGGCCCTAAATTTACAGTGATCCTCCTGTCTCCGTCTCCCGAGTGCGGGATTACAAGTGTGGGTCACTGTGCCCGGCTACATGTCACTCTCGTTAAGGAATAGTATTTTTGCAGTAAACAGGCTAACCTGCAGTCATTTTTTGCTGCGTTGTCAGGTTTTCTTTCTGACAAGCCTGCAGTTCGGGGGAGCCCCTCTCTGGCTAAGAGACATCATCTATCTGTGGGTCTCAGGAGAGTTGGCTGTGCATTCATAGTATCTGAGAACTGGATGAAAGTTCAGTTTTAATTAGTCCTAAGAAAGGAAACAGGCATCTGAGAGCTTACAGTGACCCAGCAGGGAGAGATGGGGGCATGTGGTCATTCCTGGTGCTCAGAGTCCTCTGAATACAATCGAGGAGGATTGGGAGGCGCTGTCTACTCTGTCTGCCAACTCCATGACGATTTTCTCTTTCTGGATGGTGGCCTGTTATTCTGGCATACTATTATATTGCTGCTTTTATGTTTTTATTCTTTTCACTACAGTTTGCCCAATTCTTTTTTGCTTTAGCTCTGGACCTTGTCAAGAGGTTGTTGGTTGTGGATCCCAAGGCACGGTTTACGACGGAAGAAGCCTTAGGTCACCCGTGGCTTCAGGTGGGTGTGGGGTGGTGGGTGTGGAGTGGTGCCCCTTTGTATTAAATACATGGGGAGCCCTTGACTGAACTGCCCCAGTGAGGTGAGGAAGAGCACGAAAAAACGTTTTGTGTTGCTGAGTCTGTGTAATTGTTTTAGATCAAGTGTAGGGGGGCACATGGGGTGTGGTGGGTGCTTGGAGTGTGTATCCCCTCCCGTGTTATCCATGGCTCTGGAATGGACATACTCACTTCGTAACTTGCTCTGGTTCCACTTGGCTACCCTGAGCCTACAGTTTGAGTGTGTCCTCTGAGAGATTGCACCTCCAGCTATGTGCCCCCTTCTTCCCTCCAACAGGTGGGGTGGGCTGGGCCGCATTCCAGCCACCCCCTGCCTTCATTCAGGGCAGCTGAGCGAGCTGGAGCAAGGCAGAGAGAATTCAGCTGTTACGGAAGCCCGTTAGATTGGGTAGGTGGGGGTCCCACTTAGTGCTCCTTTTTTGAGTAAGCATGCCATTAGTGTAGGCTGTCATCTGTGTCTGTCTGGTCTGTATTACCTCTGTGTTTATGCTTTGAGTTGTGGCTCCCTTTTGATCATAAACTGACCTCATTCAGAGCTGCCAGAGTTGCACACCCTTGTGGCTTCACCAGGTTAATCTTTGGCTTTGAAATTAGCTATAGTATCAGGGAAGTTTTCTGCTGCATATGTTATAATCTGTTCAGTACATTTCTACTCAGCACAGCCAGGCCTCTTTCTGTTAACTTTCTTTTGGTCTTTTTTGTATTCTGTGATGCTGTAATCATGTAGCTTGAGTTAAAAGCTGTTACTTGGAGAATTACTGGTCCAGGAATTCCTTGGGCAGTCCAGCCTGGGCCTCTGGGAAGACTGTCCCTATTCTTTTTGCAATCCTGCATACCTAACAGTTTTGCTCAGGCCAGCTCAGGTTGAGAACAACAAACCCTTAAAAGAAAGAAAGAGTAAAAGGGGGTGGAAGGGTAGTGGGGGGAGATGTGTGTTTTGGATGTTGCCCTGGAAACAACAGTCCCCCCACAAGAAATCTGTCAGATGATTTAGCATTTAATAGACCACACAGATTTGAAGCAGCAGGACCTTAGAGAAAAGGAGTTTGGAAACAAAGGGTGCCTTTGCATGTGAGGATTTGATTTTTCATAGAAAAAGAGAAACACGCCTCTTAGCTCTTTTCATGTGTCCTAACAGGGAAACTCTTGGGGGTCCACTGTAGAGGTAGAGGAGTTGGGTTAGACTTGGAGAGAATGGAGCTGGCCAGTGAGGTTTAGGAATAGTGTTTGTGTCTGCCTGAAATTTATGAGCCAGCAGAGTCTGTTATCCACAACCAAGCAGAATGTGGATACAGGGGTCCCATGCCAATGCTCTTTCGTTGACGTTTTTACAGCCAAAGGTGAAGTGAAGGATAAGGATGCAGATTAGCTCTCCTGTATGCCCTGCCAAAGCGGGCACAGACCAGCTATCTAAAAAGTCATTAATAATGGTTAGGTTTTACTTATTTTTGAATATTAGTATTGTTTTGAACCCAGGTGGTTTTGCAGGTCTGGTACTGGGAACGTATATTCTTGTTTTCATTGTATCATTAATGGTGTCCAGTTTGGTGAGAATTTCTTTTATCCTCTTTTTGCCTTACGTTTATTAAAATAGAGTTTTTAATGAGGGATATTATAATTTTATTTTTAAAAATTTATTATTTTCTGGGTTTTTGAGACAGGATCTTGCTGTGTAGTTCAGGTTGGCTTTGAACTTGCTATGTAAATGTAGTTCAAGCTGACGTCAGATTTGTGGCTGTCATCCTGCCTGAGCCGCCTGAGTGCCGGGATTACAAGCGTTCCACCATACTGGCTTAATTTAATATTTTTTAGTAGATTGTAGATATCTCAAAGGAAAGGTTTTACAGATAAATTCTTACTTGTGTTAACAAAATCTTTTTTCACATAATGGCTAATTGATGATTTGTAGACATAAACTTACATAGATTGTACATTACTCTGGCAGCACTAACGGGCTGCTGGCAGAAGGGCAGAAGGTGGCGAGGTGGATGGATGCTGTGCCATGGATGAGTATGGAGAAAAAAGGGATGACTTTGGAGAGTGACCCAGTAAGAGAAGTGAGATCATAAGGTCAAGAGCAGAGTGGGGAATCCAGCTGTGCTTGGTGCTGGATTGAGTAACAACGGGAGCTATGCCAAGTGATCTAATCGGTCAGTGTGGTGGAAGCAGCTGGTGGTGGCTACCAGGTAGTTGAGAGATGAGCTCATTGTTGGTTTCTCAGTACTGCCGTTTCACGGTGTCTGTGAATTTGCTGAGTGTTGGAGGTCTCTGTTCATGTGTCCTCTCCCTGACTTCTGTGGTACTCTTGGCTTGGGGAGGAATAGGGAAGGGGATGGGTTGAGTTGAAAAGTACTTGGGGCTTTGTAATCCTGCTACTCTGGGTCTGTTCAGTACATGCCTCTTCTGAGAAACCAAGCTAGGCTTCTAGCTACCCCAAACCCCACTTTCCTGGCTATAGGTGTTTCATATTTCCGAAGATAGGGAGAACAGTACCAAATGCAAATCCTTGAAGGTTCATTATTGAGCATCCAGGCAGATGGGAACTTAGGTTCAGACACATCTGGATAAGCATTCTCTTTCCTCCTCAGATCCCAGCATGAAACGCCTATAGTGCTCTGCCCTGTTTATTCTTTATTGTTATTCTTTCTTGTTAGACCTGACCTTGGGATATTGGGGGCTTTAGGTCCTTTTGGCAACTTGTACAACATGTGCTGGATAATTTTCTTAGGTTGTTGAGTCTGTTAGGATGGCCTGGGTCACTGGCCTCCATGGTGGCAGGAGAAGGAAGGGGTCTAGAAGGATTCAGAAAGCTTCATGGTGTCATCCTTACCGTCTGGCCTCCTGATTGTCATTTCTCTCAGGATCTGGGATGCTAGTTCTAAAATTCTTAGCTGCTGGGGTTTGTGATTCTCTCACCCACTGGGAGATCTTGGGCAGACAGGCTTAATTTGGCCAGTGCTGAAGAGAACAGACTGCTTATGAGACCACTGTGAGAAGAAACAAGTGAGCGACAGCCCTGTCATCCTGGGGTCTTCCTTTCTGTCATGCATAGCCTACTTAGCTTTTTAATTTCTTCACAGGATGAGGACATGAAGAGAAAGTTTCAGAGTCTACTGGCCGAGGAAGATAAGCCGTTGGCTCTTCCCCAGGTTGTGCTGCAGGTATCCCTATTAATGTTAACTAAATGTAGATTAGAAGCCTAGAAAGTCATATATACCTGTAATTTCAGCACTCTGGGAGGCTGAGATAGGAGGATCAAAAGGTTGTGCTGAACCTGGCAATTTAGTGAAACCCTATCTCAAAATTAAAAAAAAAAAAAAAAGGCTGGGGATGTAGCTCAATGCATAGGCTTGCATTCAGTCCTGAGTGTGTGATTTATAATGTAGTAGATACTTGGTTTCTCCTTATCTGCTACAGTATCTTTATAAGACTTAATAAGTCAAGGGATGTTAAATGCATGCAAGGAGCATGGCTAGGGGTTATCAAAAGGTTTCCTACAAGGCAAGATCCAGTGTTCTGTTAGAGGTTCAAATTTAAATGTTTCGGAAAATGTAGCTGGGCATGGTGGTACATACCTGTAATTCCAGCACTCAGGCGGCTGAAGCAGGAAGATCCCTGAAAGTTCGAGGCCAACCTGAGCTACATAGTGAGTTTAGCCTGTATTACAAAGTGAGATCCTGTCTCAAAAAAAAAAAAAAGAAGAAAATGTAAAATTTGGCAAGGGTTTGATTTCTTGATTATGTTTTTCTTTTCAGTTCTTTGTAAGTGTGAATTAATATCTGCGCATTCCTGTCCAGCTGTTTCTTTTTGTTGTTTTGTTGTTACAGTGCTGGGGATGGAACCATGGGCTTTGTGCATGCTAGGCAAGTACTATACAACTGAGCTAAATCTGTGGCCCTGGTCCTGTTTTATTTAGTAAATGGTATCTCTTTCCCCCCTCCCCCACTGTTCCCTCTTGATTTTTTAAGTGAGGAAAGAACTAAGACACAAAACATTAGCTTTCCATAAAAGAGCAAGATTTGGGGGTAGGAGGGCTTCAATCCGTTTTGATTTTTTTTTTTTTTTTGAGACAATCTCAGTACATAGTGCAGGCTGACTTTACACTTGTTTATGTAGCCCAGCCTGGCATCAAACTCATAGTGATCCTCCTGCCTAAGTCTCCTGAGGTGTGTACTGCAATGTTTGGCTTTTCTTTTCATTTTAAATAGAGTTATTGTTTCTTTTTGGTGCTGGGGAGTAAACCCAAGACTTGCACATGCTAAGCACATGCTTTATCATTGAGCTATAATTCCAGTCTCTATAAATGTGGTAATGTAGGAGAAGATGAACAAAATCAGGTTAATTTTCCTCCCTATTTTCAATATATGGGTGCTCTGTAACTTAAGATGGATTTATAGCCTGGTAAACATTTTTTTTGTCATCCTGTCTGTCTAAGATTTCACTCTATAGTTCAGGCTGGCCTTGAACTTACTTTGTAGCCCAGGCTGGTTTCAAACTCGAAGCAATCCTCCTGCCTTCCAAGTGCTGGGATTACAGGTGTGCGTCACGATGCCTGGCCCAGGCAAACCCAATGTAAGCTGCAAATATTTTAACCTATTGAACATCCTAGTCTAGCAACACAATGTGCTTTAGTGTGGTTTCCTTTCCCAATCTCAAGAGTATTGTACTGCATATTGCTAGCTCAAAAAAAGATCCAAATTTGAAGTTCATTTTCTATTGTGTAATGCTTTTGCTTTGCTTTATGTACAAAAACAAAGTCAAGCAGGGGATGGTGGCGCATGCCTGTATTCCCATCACTTGGGAGGCTGAGGCAGAAAGATTGCAGCAACTTCAACACCAGCCTGAGCTACATAGTGAGTTCAAGGCCAGCCTGAATTACAGAGCAAGACCTTGATTCAAAAAATAAAAAAACTCTAAGTCAAACTGTCTGTGCATCATTAAGTAGTTAGAAGCCACAAGGGAGAGAAATGTCAAGTAGATAAATTTGTCCGAATCCAGAGGGGTGTGGTGCCATTCAGTTACTGGAAGCATTTTAGAGAACTTTGCTAGAAGCTGATGATTTTCTTTTCAACATTTCTCCCTTTTCCTCTCTGTATTTCCAGCCTTCCACTAGTCGAAAACGGTCTCTCGAAGCAGAAGCTGAGGATGTAAAGACCAGAAAGCGTACGGCTGTGTGTGCTGCTGTGTCATAAACACTGTGATTTAACATGGAAGAAATGTTTCTTCTTTTACTCTGCTGTCATCTTGTTTCTTTAAGTCTTTTTTTTTTAATGGCTTCTATTTTAATTATGGGAGTGATTGTTTTTCCACAATTGTGTATATAATTAAAAACCCGATAAAACTCAGGCTTTGTGCATATACTTGATTCTTGAGTTCTAATGCTTTTTTTTTTTTTTTTTTTTGGTGTTAGAAGTCACTGTGTGCCTTTCATGTCAAACCTTACCTTGACGGTTGTTACCAGGCTAGTTTCTTGGACTGCTACTCTGTTTTAGTCAGTGAGAGCTGAATATAAATTCTAAGGGCCCCTTAGAAGGTCACTGGAAAGGGTTTGTTGATGCATGTATCACAGTCCTGTTAAATTCCCATCTTCATTCTATTAAACATACATGTGCATAGTCTTTGAAATCTCAGGAGCGGGTAAGTTGTAAAGTCAAAATTTTTCTCATTTTAGGAAGGTGATAGGGCACTTCTGTGTATTATCTGTAAAAACCCCTTTCATTCCTGTAAACATATCCATTGATATTTCAATAGCAGATTTTCACAGTAAGAGAGAGGGAAACATAAGGAGACTGTCAGTCATGTCTGTCTTTTCTGTCAGTTGAAATACAGGTGATTTGTTTTTCAGAACCGTTGGGATTTTAGACGTGGTCAGGTGTGTGGATATGTCATGTTGACCCAGTAATGTTGGGGAGTCTGCATAGTTCTACTTTTGAGTGGTCTTGTCCTCACAGTGACCTTGTAAGCTAGGTCTTCCAACTACCTTCATCTTATAGATGAGGAATCCAGACTTAGGGAAGTAAAGTAAGTTTTTCCAACATCATACAGTTGGTAAGTGGCAGTTCCAACTGAGGTCTTGCTAACTTTTTTTTTTTTGTCTTTTTGAGACAGGGTCTCAATGCAGTTTGGGCAGGCCTTGAACTTACTTTGTAGCCTGGGCTGGTCTTGAACTCGAAAAATCCTCCTGCCTCAGCCTCCCTAGTGCTGGGATCAGGTGTGAGCCACCATGCCCGGCTTAGGTCTTGCTGCCTTTAAAGCTAATATTGTCTTCTCGTTTTTATATTCAGACTAAGGATGTTGACTCAGACAAAATTCATAACAGACTGATGTCTGAATCCTAAATGCCAATCTGTTTAGTTATAAAGAGCATGAACTGTCAGAAGGAACACTTTCTTATCTGCCTATCAAGTTTGTTTAGTTCCTACAGGCTGCCTGCAGGGATAGCCCACTGATCTGTGGAAGCTGGATCCCACTCAGTATTTCATGGAAAGATTGATATCAGGGATACAGATGGCTGGGCTTGGGAGCTACCAGGCATGCGAGCAGTCCTAATGACTGGCTTGTGTTTGTTTCTTTCTGATCCACTGATCATATTCTTTCCCCTCCCCCTCCTCTTTTTACTACTGAGGATGGAACCCAATGCCTTTGTACTGAGCCACATGCTGTAGCTGTTTTTAAAATTTTGAGATAGGGTCTCACTAAGTTGCTAACTTGCTGGTATGTAACATGTGATTCCTGGTCCTCGGCCTCCCAGAATGCTGGACTTACGAGCATGTGCCACCACACCTGGCTGTGATTTGCCTCTTATGTAACTTTGTCTAACTGGTGCTTGACCACACTGTAACTCACTGGCGATGCCATGGATCGAGTCGCATTGTTTAGATGCTACTAACCTTCCATGTCAGAGGCAGGAGCACTCAGGTTGGCAACTAGAAGGGTATGCAAGCTTTCTGAGGGGAGGTAGTGGGGATTTAGGTGGCTTGAATATTTAAAGGAATTGAGGCTGAGATTGCTAAATGGGTTTTAGCTCATTGGAAGAATATGAGGCTATTTTTTTAAAGGGTATTTTCCCTGTTGGGGTAGAGTTCATCAGTACTTCTGTGTCCAGAGCACTTTGTTTTAGCTCCCTCTGATACCTGCCATGATATGCTGAATAATGGCACTCAGTAAGTACCCTAACCTAATCCCTAGTATCTGGGAATATCTTACTTTACATGGCAGAAAATGTCATTAACGATCTGAGACAGGAACATAATTTGTCTTATCTCTTGGGCCCATGTCATTGCAAGGGTCTTTTGAGGAATGCAGAGTGAAAATCAGCTCAGATAGTGATGTGATGACTGAACAGAAATTAATGATATGATTTGAGAATGAAGTGAGGGGGCTACCAATCCAGAGTAAAGCTGTCCACTGAGGCTGAAAAAGGCAAGGAAATGGTTTTTCCCATGAGAATCCATGAAGGGATCAACCACCTTTTATAGCTTTGGAACTGTAAGAAATTTTGTTTTTTTTCTGAGTCGTGTGTGTGTGTGTGTGTGGGGGGGGTCATAGTAAAGCTGAGTGCCTGCTCCCTAGTACAGAAACTCAAAGAAGGGCTTCCTTAGAAGTTTCTGATGCTGTGGAACTCCTTCCACTGGTCATCTACTTGGAGGGCTTGGAAACATGAGCAAATGGTAGTGAGGTGGCAACATCATGATGGAAACAGTAATATGCTAAACTAAGCACTGTGCTTTCTTATGTTGGCTTTGGGGGAAATTAGTTAAAATTGCTGAGCTTTTGTTCCCTTATTTGTAACATGGATGCAGTAAGCAAAGCAACCGTCTATTGACATGGTGGATAGTCAGTGGAAAATCTACCAAGTGCCTGCCATGTGACAAGGGCTTCTTCAGTGTTAGCCTTCATTGTAAAGTGGAGAGAGCCGTATGCATAGCCAGAGGGAGGCAGAAAGTGCTTCAGCAGGAAGGTAACCTTTTCAACTTTTTTTTTTTTTTTTTTTTTTTTTTTTAGTATTATCACTGGGATGCCTTTGACTAAGCAGGTTTGGGAAATGCCAAGCCTGATGTGGGTGGTAGGAGCAGAGGTGGAGACCATTCCCAGTCCCTTTTGTAGAACAGGCAGATAGTTCTATGACAGATGCCCTGTGTACCTATATGGTGGTGTGCGTGGTAGCTCTTACTTGTATCAGCCTCTGCCCAGTGCTTCACGTGGTAGTTGTATCCCTATTTTTCACTGGGAGGCACCCCACTTCCTGCTCCATCTCACATGAGAAGGATGACCCCAGCTCCTTTATATACACTAGTTAGTCTAGCCAATCTGATTGTGGTGACTGGCTCGGACATGGGCATGAGGCCCACATGAAGCGAGTAAGTCAGTTCTGGGACTTCAGCTGTAACTATACTTTGAAGATCTCTAATCTGAGTATTCAAAATACTCCAAAATCCAAAACTTTGATCACTGATATGAAACCATATGGAAAATCCCTTGTTATTAAACTTTGCATGAAAGAATTATTAAAAATATTGAGGACCACGGGTTTAACTCAGCAGTGGAAGTGCCTGCTTGGCAAATAAGGTCATGAGTTCAATCCCTGTACCAAAAAACCCAGCCAAACAAACCCCCATTATTGAATACAAAATTACTTTCAGGCTGTAGGTATAGGGTATATATGAAACGTGAATTTTTCATGGTTAGAGTTGGGTTGCCTCTGCACCACAGCTCATATGTTTGCAAATATTCTAAAATTAAGATCAGATTCAGCCAGGTGTGGTAGCACATACCTGTAATCTCAGTACTTCTAGGGAGGCTGAGGCTGGGGGATTGCCAGTGAGTTCAAGAACAGCTTGAACTGCATAAAACCTCTTAAAAAAAAAAAAATCAGACACTGGCGAACACTTTCGATAATGGATACTGAACCTGTATTGGGAAACAGCCTCTGCTTTCTTGGGTAGAGGTAGCTAGCAGGTATGTGGCCACCATGTGCAAAGTGCTACATGAAAATGGGCAGGAAGACCCAAGATTGGAGACTGAGTTTCGGTTGAACTGGATCCAGCTATGCCTGAAGCAGAGAACCACTCAAGACTTGTCAAGTGTGTGATTAGGTGTGCTCCTTTTTTTGTTTTACTCCAGGTTGGGGTTTGTGTCAATTGATCTGAAAAAGTCCAGACTAGTAAACGAAACCATTTACAAGTTCCAAGAGACTCTCAAAGACTCTTGTTTTTTCAAGTAGGGAAAATGTTTTCTTCTGCTGTTTCTGTGCCAACTTCAGGGTTTTTGTAAAAGTTTGGGGCTGAGAATGGAAAGTGAAGACGTGGGAAGAAAGCGTCCTCATAACCCCAAGGTTGGGTGGACCCTCCCAGCTAATTATACCACAGGGTTTGGGAGCAGAGCCCCTTTCATTAAGCTTTTAGGACTCTTGGACGGATAGGGTAGGGATTACACCAGTGAATCTTAGAGAGCTTGGTGTATGCCATGCATTGTGCTGAGGGAAGTGCATGTATCTCCCTGAACCTTGTGAAGCACTGTCATACATTCCCCACTTGCAAACGTAAAAAAATCAAGTCTTTCTGGCTCCGTCCAGTGACCTCATGGTTTCCCAGTTTTTAAGAGAGAGGTAGGATTTGAACTCTTAGAGAGCCCTTTGGTTCTTAGCGACCAAAACTACAGAGGTCCTGTCAAATAATGACAATCTGATAAATACCAGGTGCGGTGGGGGATTATTTCATCAAGTTGTCAGGTGAAGGAGAAACAGGCATGAAGACCTGACCCTAGTCATGCAAGAGGAAGTGGAGATGCAGGTTCTCAGTGCAGTCAGTCTCTGCCTAGGTTTCAGGCTTTCACTGTACCACCTACACTGGTGCACGTGTCTGTACAGCTCCAGCATGAGATCGCACCGAGTCAGTGGCGTCCTCCCTCTGCACTTCTTGGACTGACTCCCGGCCCGGGCTCAGCGTTGAGAGCGAAGAAGATGGGCTCCTGCGCGTGGAGCCCAGGGGCTGGGCCGGGGTGGTCTGCAGTGCGGCTGGCGGTGGCGCAGAGCAAGGAACTGCGCGCTTTCCAGGACGGGCCGGACAGGCGCGGCGGGGGTAAACACGACGCCGGGAACAGCGACCCGCCGCAAAGGGCTCCAGGCTGGGCGCAAGGGAGGGGGCGCGGCGAGTGTGCGCGTGCGCGATGCGAGTGGAGAAGCCGCGGGGGCGCGCGTGCGCGGTTGGGGGGGCGGGTGTGGGCTGCCGCGGCGGCGCGCGGCACGGCGGGAACATGGCGCGCGGGAGCGGTGCGCGCGCCTAGCTGGCGGGACCGTTAGCTCGAGGCGGACGCGGCCCTGGCCCCGTGGGGATGGAGCAGTCGC